AGAGTAGCCAGAAATTGAAAAGGCAGGTCACCTAAGGACAACTTTCCCACTATCTGCTGACTAAACAAACAAACAAACAAACAAAAACCACCTGAAATGTCTTTCTATAGATTTGACTTAACAGCTGTCACACTTGGACTGTGACGTTTACACTTAAATTATGGTGTATCAGTTCAGTAGCCAAAAACACATCTCACTTGCTTTATATATGTCTGTCATATTATCTAGAGAGCCTAAAACCTTCCAGGATATGATATTGATGGGGAGAAATTATTATCTCCATCTATCCGAGGAAACCAGTTCTCAGAGAGGGAATATAACATAAAAAGTAAAGTGTGGGCATTGAAAAAAGGTATGTAGCCTTTGACAGGGCTAAACATTTCCTGGAGGCTGCATTCAATATGAAAAGGTCCTCAGTGATGGTAGGAGACACCTTTTTCATTTGTCTCTATTGAAAAAATAAATTACACCTTTAAAGATGGTTCACAAGTCCCTAGCATGGTGACTGATGTTAACACCTAGCATGGTGTTAATATCTGTGTGCTAATGAGTCAAAGGATATGGTTGTTATTTATGCCCAGAAAACTGCTTTTGTGAGTGCAAAACTATACAGGGAGAAGAACATCAGAGTTACTTAGGACTCTTGTTGCACATTGGCACCACTAAGGTACTGGCTCATTTTCCTACTTAAAAGGTATTGATGTTCAGCTGGCTTTAAATTACTCTAGAGACATAGCTTTCCGAGCCCTAAAGAGACTATGACACAGCTTTGCCCCACTGTTCTTGCAAAACACCCCAAGTTACAAAAGTATACAGTTTATTATGTTTGCCTAAAATCACCGAGTAAAGATACTTTTTATAAAAAAAAAATAAAGTAAGTTTGTACTAAAAGTGAATATGTGTTAATAAACATTGCCTAAAATCTGTTTTTATAATAGTGTTTCCGCTGTACTAAGGACTGCACTCCTCAGCGTTAATGCCTTCCCTGGTGCAGGGAGGAGACCTGTGACAAAAATAGTTTTTGTAGGTAAAGGTGATTACACATGTCTGTAGTCCTACACACGGGAGGCTTCAGTAGAGGGATGGTTGAGTTGGCGACCAGCCTGGACATTTGAACTTGAGGACCAGAGTCCCCATACCCCCAGTCATGGTGATGTGTCTGTAATACCGTGTTCCTTACTTAGGGGAGATGGGAGGCAGAGACAGTCCCTGGAGGCTTGTAAATCAGCTTGCTACTTCTGTGAAGTAACAAAGAGACCCTGTCTCAAGCAAGTCAGGGACCTGCATCCTGATACCAGTGTGTCCTCTGACTTTGTCCATGTTTGAGGGGGAGCTTTGAATCTACAAGACAAACAACACCCAGTCCACAGAAAATTCTTCCTTTTCCTACTTCCTGCAAAGAAACAATAACCATGGGAGCTAGAATTCTTCCATTCTTGTCTTTTCTGAATCTTTAGAAACACACCACGCCCATGTTTTCTCTCTGTATGTGTCTCTTTGTTCCCATGCACTCACCTACTGGCTGTTTATCCCTGGCCCCTCTTCTAAGTTCCATTCATGGATTTTTAAGCTGCCTGATAGATTCTCTTGTCTCTTGGCCCCCTTATTCTACACTTCGTTTGAATGTTGTTGTTTTGTTGTTGTTGTTGTTTTCATCAATTTCCCTTTAAACAGAATCTTGCTTTGTAGCCCAGGCTGAATTCAGATGAATAATCTTGTAGCCCAGTCCTAGGATTCTCGGCATGCTGACATATTCTCTTTAGTTGCACTGGTGGGTCTGCTTGTTTTATAAGAAATCCTTCCAGTTACAGCAGGTGCAACATCCGTCTGCCTTCCATTATTTCCCATCTCCCTCTCTTCTGAGTTTATTTCTGTTGCGACTCCAAACTCAGAATCACAGTGCTACTTTTTCAGAGCTGTATTTCCTAGAATAATGCTAAATTAATTTATCTACCTACTAAAATGCCACTAAATAGTTTTTACTTTCCACCTACTATTGTGGAAAAGATAGTAAATACTGAAAATTGTTATTTTTGTACCTTTGTCTTGGCCTATCTTACTTAGCTTCATATTTGAACTTTTATTTACTTGTGATGTTTTCATGTAAGTTTTTGCCAAGGTGTATAGGGTGTCATTCCTGAGATTTTCTTGTTCCTTGAAAGCTCATATATTAAACAAACAACTCAAAACTGAGTCTGGAGCTCAGTAGTAGAGCCTTGAGTTGGATACCCAACATCACCAAAATAAACAAACTCTGGTTTCTTTTTATTTTGGGAAATTAATTTAGTTCCGATCCCAGTTTCATCACACTTCAGTCCATTTATTCAGCCACAAATAGCACAGTTATTTGATTAGCTTTGGATGTTTGTTTGGATGGTTGGTTGGGGTCTGTCTTGTAGCCTTGCTCGGCCTGGAGCTCAGGGTGCGTGCCTCAGGCTCACATCAGCTTGCTATTGGACCAGCCCCATAACTGTGAGGGTGCAGGTGTGCACCACTGCACCGAGCTTTAGTTGTATATTGTAGTTTAGAGATTAATACTAAAACTTTTAAAAGGAGGTTTGCTAGAGGGTGATTAGGAAGGTAACTTTTTGTTTTCTGTGAACACATCGCTAGTTTTCTAAAGTTATTTCATAAAAGCTAGAAAATACTTGTCTTTTGAACAGTATTTCACAGTGTTCACACTGTGGTAGAAACCAGCATAATTGCTAGACCTTCAACTTGCATGTGAGTTTCTGATAAGCACCCACAACAAAAATTTTAGGATGCCTGCATACTTTTGCATTGCTCAAAAGACACCCACATTGCACTTTAGCCTTGGGAAAAGTAGCTGATTAGGGACATACATATTCAGTTTCTAAACAGAGATGGAAAGAGATTCCTTTTCTGTGCATATTATAGGCTTTCTATTGCAGCATGAAAATTAAGGACTTTTTGCTTCAAGATTAATAAATTGATAGGCTTGTTTCTCCTTGTGACTTTATTTGAATAATTGAGCAGCTGGGGGGAATGGTGAAATCTGGATTAAGAGTTTCTATTTACTGTTTGGAGTCAGTTTTGCCCCTCTGCTGTATGGGAAACATTTAACAATGGGAGTAAAACCCAACTGGGATTGTGATGCACTGACGTCTAGTCACGTTGAAGAAAAACTAATTTCTCCACATTTCTGTTAAGGTTAATGACTGCTAGTTGCCATGTTTACACCGGAGTGTACATAAAGAGAAGAACAGTAATAGGCTAGAGGCCAGGGAAGATTGGATAAGTATATAGATGCGGTTCTGTGGTTACACATAACTTTCCATCACTCATTTCTTTTCATTATTATATTCATAATTCACTTTAGTGTTGAAGCACTAAAATTAGTTTTAAAAGTTGGACTGTGTTCATAAAAAAATTTAGTGCCCAAAATATAGCTGTGTTTTGTTCCCTGGTGTTGAGAGTATGGATTAAAAACCATGGTAATGGTGTTGAAGGTCATATGTTAGACTTAGAGCGTCTGTCTTCTAAGCCGTTTCCTTCTACCCTGAGTTGTACAGTTTGCCTTAAGTCTTGGTAGTACTAGTTTGGAGATGTCTGGCCCTGTGTGTTCCAGTAAAGACTGAACCGATGGTGAGAACCACTGAGACATAAAGTAGAGAATAAAAAACTAAGAGCTACAGCATTAGACATGAAGTTTACCTAAGAAAGAAAGACCAACAGCAAGAATGTACTGTGTGATTTCTGAAAAAGTCAATAGACCAGAGTGACTAAGAACATGTAGAATCAGTGTAGAGATGGGGCTCTGAACGAATCTTAAGAGTCTTGGGAATATTCTGTATTGGTTGATGGGAAAGACTTTTAAGCCAGGCAGTGGTGGTGCTTATATTTAATCCCAGTGCTCCAATAGAAGTAGCTGGACCTCTGACTTCAAGGCCAGCCTGGTCTACAGAGCAAGTTCCAAGACAGCCAGGGCTAGATGGAAAAACCCTGTTGTGAAAAATAAGCAAACAAACAAAAAAGGAATTTTAAATTGTTAATGTTGATATTTCAGATATGGGAAAGAATATGGCAGCTAGATGATATAAATTTGTGCTAAGGAGCCAAGACCTTACTATCTGCCTGTTTGTCATCTTTGATGCAATCTTACTAAGATTACCTGGAACTGGGACAGGCTGGCCTTGAACTCACAGTCCTTCTGCCTTGGTCTCCTGACTGTTGGGATTACAGGCCCATCCCACCACGTGCCTAGTAGTAGCTCTGAATTTTTTGTCCTGTCTGGATTAATCTGGCAGGCAGCAGTCACTGCAGACTTCAGATACCATCAAAGTATAAAAACATTCGTTATTGTTATTTTCATTATTAGTACAGACTGGGTCATGCTTTGTTGCCTATATTGGTGTCCAGATTTTGAACTCAGTTTCTGCTTTTTGAGTGCTTGGAATATAAGTTTGTACCACTAGGCCCATTTTAAAAATTGGAATCATTAAAATGGATTTATGTCATAGTGACACTTATTTTAGGTTTTCCTTTTACTTTATTGCTTTGATTGAGCAACCTATCTTTATTATATTGAAATACTTGAGTCAAGCTATTTAGGAAGAAAGGCTTATTTGGCTCCCAGTTGTGAATGATGAACGCCCAGACAGCATGTTATAGGCTTTGGTAAGGACTTTCCCATTACTGTGTCACTTTATAGTGCAGTAGAAGGAGCATGTGCAGGTGAGAGTATCACATCACCCACATCCAGAAGACATGCTGGCAGGGTAGCTTCCCTGGTGATGTAGGGACCTTGAACTAGGCCTCTCTTTTTATGGTTCCACATCTCCAGTACCACTGTACTGGGGACCAGACTCCCCATTTTTGAACCTGTCTAAGAAATAAACTATGTAATTTATCACATTTCATTCTCATAAGTTTTTGTCATCCTACGTGTAGTTAACCATGTTTAGTTATGTTTGTTTTTTATCAAGTGATTCAAGATTATTTAATTCTTAATTTGCATTCATGTTTCTTTCTGTAACCAGGAACCTTTTGAGGATGGTTTTGCAAATGGAGAAGAAAGCACTCCAACCAGGGATGCTGTGGTTACGTACACTGCCGAAAGTAAAGGGGTTGTGAAGTTCGGCTGGATCAAGGGCGTATTAGTATGTATGCATAGACCCTGCTTATGGTTCCAATCCTGTTGATTAGCAAACCTAGCTCATGTTCTCGAGAGAATTACTGGTTTTCTGCCTATTTGTTTGTGGGTACTATGGAAGACCCAGTAATGCCTTGTGTATTCTTTCCTTTATGATATTAATGTTCATTAGGGGAGAAATGTTTATTATTATACACATCATCTTGATAGAATTGGAAACTCAACAAGTTTCTGCTTTTGGTAGCCCTGGTTGGGCTACACCGGGCTGACCTTGAACTCATTTTGCCTCTGCCTCCCAGGTGCTGAATCAGTTGTAACAATACACAGAGAGGAACATAGAATAAAAAATTAATATAAGCTCAAGTTGTGGGAGTATAATACTTAGTTTAAATTTTTGGGAATGGTGTGATCCATTGACATTTGTGTTGGTGTACACGCAATCCTTAACTCTGCCTTAACCATTCATGGCAGATGTTATCAAAGCATAGGCAAAACTTACATGATAAAGACAAATTGTAACTTTAAGATTGGAAGTGTTACCAGGTGTGGTGGCACAGGCCTTTAGTGCCTCCCAGTATTTAGGATGCAGAGGCAGGTGGATCTCTGAGTTTCAGAACAGTCAGGGCTACACAGAAAAAATAAACCCTGTCTTCAAAAACAAACAAACAGTCAGTAGTCTTAAAAATAGTCTTCTGTTGTGTTTCTGACACTCTTGGTGAGCACATTTACTTATAAACGTACTTAGATGGCTCTTACGTACATCAGCTAACATAAACCCTCAGTAAGCCCTTTTGACAAACTTAAGGTAAAGGAGTTAGATTTCAAAACACTTTCATAGTTTCAGTCACATTTATCTTTTGACTTGTTTAATTTTTATTGCTGTGTCTTGTGCCCTTTTTTCTCTCCCAGGTACGTTGTATGTTGAACATTTGGGGTGTGATGCTCTTTATTAGATTGTCGTGGATTGTGGGTCAAGCTGGAATAGGTAAGGGAAGCTTCACACCTCTTGATCTACGTTATATTAGCTGTGTGCCTTTCTGCAGTTGCTGACTGGGCTGTGTTGTCTTTATTATGTAGATTGCTACCATAATTGACTTTCACAGTTTTGACTTTATTTCTCAAAATTGAGATTGGAATTAGGTAATTTATGGCCTGTGTCTTAGTTACTTATCTCTTTCTGTTGAGAAATGTCATGACCAAAGAAACTTACATAAGAAAGCATTTAATTGAGGGATTGCTTACAGTTTGAGAGAGTGAGCGCATAACCATTATAGTTCAGAGCATGATGGCAGGCAGGCAGCATGCATGACGCTGGAGCAGTTACTGAGAGCTTACTTGTGACCCACAAGCAGGAGGCAGAGAGAGTGAGTCTGGGCCTGCTGCAGCCCTCTCCCAGTACCGCACTTCCTCCGAAAGCCAAATACTTCACACACAGTCCACCAACTAGAAACCATACATTCAAAAATGTGAACATACCGGGACTATTCTCTTTCAAAGCACCACAGTCCAAATCAGTGCTTAACTCTGCTAGTTCTAGGAAGTGGCAAGTTTAGGAATATAAAGTTCATGGTTTCTTTTTCCTCCTTAAAGGTCTCTCCGTTCTTGTAATAGTGATGGCCACTGTCGTGACGACTATCACAGGATTGTCTACTTCAGCAATAGCTACCAATGGGTTTGTAAGAGGAGGTGAGTTGCCTTTGCACAGGCCCAACCTGAAAGATACATTCATGCTTTTTAAGTCGCCTGTTCTGTATATCAAGTCTGTGTTCTTGAGAGCTTGTACTTGGCCAGCCTTGCTTGAGTTGTGTTGATTCTGCCCTTAGATAATACTGCTTCTCAGTCTCATCATTCAGACTTGACTTCTTCCATTGCACAGATCAGTCTCTTCCCATCTACAGCTGAATACAGCTACCACAGGCACCAAGATGAACACCATGTAAAGTTACTTAAGTTTACTGCCGAAATTAATATGAATTAGCCTATTCTATGGATTAGGTGAAGTGTATTTTATTTGTACTTCAATCAGTCAGGTAATTTTGAGCACCTTGTGGCACATGCTGGGTTTGTAACAGTGTCAGGCAAGATCCAGTTTTCTAAGGACTTAAGATCATATAATAAATAGTAGTAGTCATTGTTTGTCACCTAGGGACTGGGAGTGATATCATGGTTCTGACATACATTATCTTGATAAATGCAATATTGTTGTTTATTACTGTCATCATTTGTATGACTAATGGGACCAGATAGGAAACAATTTATGTGGATGCTTTATTAAAATTTAAACTTGATGGAGATTATGCAGCCTGGTCTCAAATGTCCAAAAATATTTTTTGAAATAATTGAAAGCTTCATTTTGTAACAGTAAAATCAAAACACTGAAATTGAAGAAACCTTAACATTTTCCACTATGTGTCAAAAAGCACTGTCTTAATAAAATCAGGCTATATCGATGGTCAAGTTTTTGTCTTTAAATCCATTGTGTAACTGTGGATGATTAGTACTTACTACCAAGCAGGAAGCTCCATATTCTTTCCTGTGATAGGTATATTCCTTCAAATTGTAACTTTCAGATCAATGAAATATCTGTAGAAGCTACAAAAGACAGTTCTGAAGTTCCTTTTTTATTAATGGAACTGACTGTACTACAGTACTTCCTGTAAGCATGAGTAGCTCAGATACCTGTCTTCTGGAGTATTTCTTCTGAAAATACACTCATATACATGGCTAAATCTGTTTTGTGAGTTCCCTCGTATAATTAAAGGAATTGTTGGCATTTAAAACTCTAACTTTTTCATTCTTTTTCTTAGGAGGAGCATATTATTTAATCTCTAGAAGTCTAGGGCCAGAATTTGGTGGTGCAATTGGCTTGATCTTTGCCTTTGCCAATGCGGTGGCAGTTGCTATGTATGTTGTTGGATTTGCTGAAACTGTGGTGGAGCTGCTTAAGGTAATTGGGCCTAGTCATTCGCTTGCCAGATCTTCACTGACAGGACACACACACACACACACACACACACACACACACACACAGCTTAACCTATTGGTGAACTTAAAAAAAAATGCTGCCAACATTATTAACACTTATAAGTAATTTGCTTATGTAATAGGAACTGTGTGGTTTTGACAATAGCATGAAGGTTTATTCTTTTTCCCTTTTATATCATAAAAGAACATTAAAACATGGGTTCACTAATCATACCAAACACAGAACACATTTCTGTTGTGTCACTTTATAAAACCTAACTGTGCCAGTCAGATTATAATTTCCTTGATTGGTAATTGCTCTTCTTGATTTATTGGGTCCATATCAGATGTACTAGCATGTGTAATTCAATTAGAAATATAAGGTACCTGAATGACAACTGATGGTAATTAGTACTTAGTTTTGAGACAAGGTCTTGTAGTGTGACTACTGAGAATGTGTAGTATAAACCAGGCAAGCCTTGAAATTTTGATAGTCCTTCTGCCTCTGACTCACACATGCTGGGAACACAGGCATACTCTGTCTATTCCCTTAATAAGCATTGATTGAATGTCTACAGCTTTTTCTCTTTTGTAGGAACATTCCATACTTATGATAGATGAAATCAATGACATCCGAATTATTGGAGCCATCACAGTAGTGATTCTGCTGGGCATCTCAGTAGCCGGGATGGAGTGGGAAGCCAAGGTAAGTCGTGGCAGAGCATCTCTAAGCATTTGCTCCAAAAAACCCAAGTTTTGTGAAACTAAAACTGATTTTCAGAATCTAGTGGAAAGGTAGCCATTTTTATAGAAGTTTATGGTATATAGCTTATTGGAATTTAAAATGATATACTTAAAGATAACCCATTTTAAATTCAGTTAAACACTACTTTGCTCATCATTGAGTAATTAAGAATTGCATCTAAGGCCCATTGCATGATAGACTTTTTGTCTACAACTGAGTATATTCCAGTCCTTCATTTATTTACTCATGTAGCACATTGACTTTATTGAAAACACCTACTTGGGTCATAGACAAGAATTCTTGCTGGGCCAGCAAGACAGCTGAGTGGTAAAGGTACTTGTTACAGGATGTCCTGGGGACTGAGTTGGATTCCTGGAAGCCACAGGCAGGTGGAGGGAGAGACCCAGCTCCCTAACGTTGTCCCCCGGGATCCACACATGAACTGCAGCGCATGTGGCTCCCTTTCCCATAGTAATCATATTTGAAAATACTTTCCTTTAATCCCAGCACTCGGGAGGCAGAGGCAGGCGGATCTCTGTGAGTTCGAGACCAGCCTGGTCTACAAGAGCTAGTTCCAGGACAGGCTCCAAAACCACAGAGAAACTCTGTCTCGAAAAACCAAAAAAAAAAAAAAAAAAAAAAAAAGTTTTGGTTGCGAATAGTATCTGCCTACCTTTTTTGAGTAGCTAAAGTTAGAGAAAAGTTTGTGTTAAGGGCTTTCTGTCCCCCCAGTGTCACTGTTTCTGAGTTCCCCCACTTGGCACGTTTTTCTGTCTTTCCTCCTTTCCTGCAGCATTGCAGGCAGACACACCACTGTGTTTGGACCTGCTCTGAAACTCGTGTTGCTCACAAGCATATTCTCCCTGTTGAGACTTTAGTCTTGGTGGGGAGGGCTTTATAGAATGAAAAGCCTGTGACTTGGCTGGTGATATAACAATGTTTAGGGCTTATTGTAGAAATGAGTGGCATGATTCTACCCATAATTAAACATTCTCAGATAGTTTTGTTTGAGGCAGGGTCTTACTAACTCAGAGTTTCACTAGTCTCAGACTTGTGGTCCTTCTGCCTCAGCTTCCTGACAGATGGGAACTTCAGGCTCATGGCCCTGCCCTGACTTTAAGAAAGTTCTTTAAGAGCTGTTATTCATGTAACAGCATTTATTGAATATCTACTGATACTTATACTGATGCGTTGCATCCGTTAAGACATTTGGCAGAAAGGCAAAACGAGACAGATTGTCTATACTGGAGGAAAGTGCAGGAGACAGGCAGTCTGTAATGGAGGAGAATGTGGAGATAGACTGTGACTCTCAGGGTTTGAACCGTAGGCTCAGATCGTCCTCCTGGTGATTCTTCTGCTGGCCATCGCTGACTTTGTCATAGGAACGTTTATCTCACTGGAGAGCAAGAAGCCCAAGGGGTTCTTTGGCTATAAATGTAAGTATAAAGGATGGATACTTTGTTAAGAATGCAAATTACAGCACTCTGCTGTTAACTAAGTATATTTTAGGTATTTTATATAGTGATTAAGTTTGGTCTAGTGATTCACACTAATTCATAGTTCAGTTTTGTCCTCTTTAAATAGACTGTACAATTAGAGTAAAATTGCTTCGTTTTCATCTTGTTTTTCAATGATAGCAAAACAGGTGGTTCAGTATAGAGAAGCCAGTGGTACTAAGAAGGAGGTGCCTGCATGGCTCTCATTATACATCTAGTTATGTGTTTCTTGGTGATGGGGATGTGGGAAATGTATCTTTAGATGATTTTATTGCTGCACAAGCATCTGAGGGTATACCTACCCAAACTAAGATGTCGATGACATCATAGAGTTATAGACCCCTTTAAGTATATTGCCCATCATTGACCAAAATGCTACTTGGCATGTGACTTTTTTTAAAAACATACCAGTTTAAAAGTGCTATGAATTGTGAAAGCAGATGAAAGTGGCCAAAATACTGACTTCTTATCTCTAAATACTATAGCACATATCCACTACGGAAAAGGGCAATTCAGGAATTTTTTCTTTGGCACGATGCATAGATGTTTTTCAGGTTTCATGAGGATCCTAATAGCAACTGCAGGTTCCTTGTCCAGAATCAGTTGCATTAAGTTGTTCACTTTCCTTTTTAAAACAAAACAAAACTGACTCAAGACGTAATCCTCAGTCTCATTAGGCTTTTTCATCTTGACAGTTTTCAGGATAATAGGTGTGTGTGGTGTGTGTGTGTGTATGTTGGGGGGGTCATCTCTCCAGCTGGGTTATTTACATTAGCCAGAAAGCAGTGTGTCCTCAGCACCCAGAATAGGGGGTCAGAGTGAACTAGCTTTCCCTACTTTTGATGTTAATTTTTATGTCTTTATTAAGGTGAGGACTAAGAGGCTTCTTGGTTGGGAAGTTGCCATTGGTTGTCAGCTAATAAACAATACTTTGAGACAGTGCTTAGCCTTGCCCCCAGTTGACTTTAGCCAGATGGTTTTATTAGTAATCCATCAGTCTGTCAAGTCACAATGACGTGGAGCAGCATAGATTGCTCTGTCTTCTTTAGTCACAGTCTTCTCCTTTTTGAAAGTCTTTCCTTGTTGGCTGTCCAATTGATGTTCTGCTTGACTCATTGACTGCTCTATTACTCCTCTTACCCTCTGTTTCAGTTAGGGTTTCTGTTGCTATGATGAAACACCATGACCAAAGCAACTTGGGGTGGATGGGGTTTATTTGGCTTTCACTTCCCTATCATTGTTCATCAGAGAAGGAAGTTGGGGCAGGAACTCAAACAGGGCAGGTACCTGAAGGCAGCTGATGCAGAGGCCATGGAGAGTGCCAAGTACTGGCTTGGTCCTCATGGCTTTCTCAGCCTGCTTTTTTAAAGAACCCACAGCCACCTGCCCAGGGATGGCACCACCTACTGTAAACTGTGAAGACTTGTCACTCATGTTAGTTTAATAAAATGCTAATTTTCCAGTAGCCAGGCAGGAAGTATAGGTGGGGCAACCGGACTAAGAGAATTCTGGGAAGAGGAAAGCAGAGATGGAGTTATCATCCAGATGCAGAGGAAGCAAGATGAGAACACTTTACTTAGAAAAGATACCAAGTCACATGGCCAAACATAGAACAGAATTGTGGGTTAATTTAAGTTGTAAGAGGTAGTTAGTAATAAGCCTGAACGATAGGCCAAACAGTTTATAATTAATATAAGCCTCTGTGTGTTTATTTGGGACTGACTCTGGGACTGGGCGGGAGAGAAACTTCTGTCTATAACTTAGAGTGGGCTAGGTCCTTCCCCATCAATGACTAATTAAAGTCCTGCAGGCTCACCTACAGCCTGATCTTCTGGAGGCATTTTGTTAATTAAGGTTCCCTCCTCTCAGATGACTTCAGCTTGTCAAGTTGACAAAACTGCTGCAATCCTCTTTTTCCTTCCCGTGCACACAGTTGTGTTCATCATATAAGCCCACCACCTATATTCTTTATTTTGGTGTTATCTAGTCTCATAGTTTGAAGTAACTTCAGGAGATTATCTTTTTATTTTTTAATTGCTCCTCTAAACCATTTCTTTTAGTCTATATAGGTGATAATGGAAGTGGGTATTGGAGAGTAGGGTAGAGGCTGGCTCCAGATCAGTGTGTTTCCTTTTATTTCCCTACCTTCTTTCTTGTGTTTTCTTAGTTTGAAGTCTGGGAAAGTGGGTCAGTAATCTATACTTGTAATTTTCATTTGAGTTAGTGATGACAGTCAAGTTTGGAGGTTCTTAAACAATTACTCATAAAAGGTATCAAAAGGTAGGGCATATCCTAGATTACATCACCATTTTGATAGCAAACAATTTCATCAGATAATAGGAGCACAGATACTGAATTAGCATTAAGTAAAAATGACCCATTGTGGGGAGACCATATATACTAATTATTCTTGACTTAAGTTCTTTTGTTCTCATTTGCTGTCTAGCAACTGATGCAATGTTTTGTCCTCTGTAGCTGAAATATTTAATGAGAACTTTGGACCAGATTTCCGAGACGAAGAGACTTTCTTTTCTGTGTTCGCCATTTTTTTCCCTGCTGCAACTGGTATTCTAGCTGGGGCAAACATCTCAGGTGATCTTGCAGTAAGTATTATAAAGTGTTGTATTGATTACTGATATGTTAAAAATGCTCTCCATGCGTTTATTTTTATAGACTAAAAAATTTTCTTGTCTTCTAGGACCCTCAGTCAGCCATACCCAAAGGAACACTTTTAGCCATTTTAATTACTACAGTGGTTTACATAGGAATTGCAGTGTCCGTAGGTAAATAACCTTCATTTCTTTATATGTCTTAGAAATTTTGTGATGCTCATAGCATGTTTTCTGACTTGAACATTCCAAAATAGTTTAGGTAAAAAGGCACAGAATCAGTTGCCTGTTTTAATGCAAAGGCCGCTTAAGGACTAGTGGCGACTTACAGAGACATAAAACCACCAAATGCTTTGTGGGGTCCTTTCTGTCATTTATTTATTATACTAAGTATATGTAAAATATATGTAAAATGGTACCTGTAAACTCGCATTTTATTTGAACATATATGCTGTATTCACACATGGAGGTAAGTTTTACTCTTTAAAGTTGTAAAGATTTGGGAGGCCCAGCACACTGTTGTGCATGTACCTCTTTATGCTCATACAAATATAAGTTCCGAGTTTGTTAATCTCATGTTAAGAGGGGTCCATGTATATTTTACTAAGAATAATTTAAATTTTACCACATTTTTTCATTGTTTTGTTCAGAAATAGTGACAATTCTATTTCAGAATTTTATTGCTATTTCTCAAGGTAATTTTGAAATTTGGCTGAACAAAAGTTAGAAATGCTGACAATATCATGATGGACCAAATTGTGTTTTAAAAATGATTTTGGATTTAATTTATTTTTAATACATATTTCTAAAATTCATCTGCAAAAACCAAGTGCTTACCTAAACTTTTAAATATGCTTATATAATATATAGCCTAGCTAAAAAAGGTTTGTTTTTAATTTAACTAATATCATAACTGATTATGTTCCAACTTTTAAAATCTTTTGTTGCCATTGATACATTTCTGCTATTTAGTCTGACCCTTTGGTCTTGCTAGACTTCACATTGACTTCATTCTGTCTGTCCTCAGTGAGCAGGGGAACTGACCCTTCTTCCTGGTGTTCAGGAGAGGGCTGGGAAAGAGCTCACTCAGTACCAGTGCCTGTGTAGCTAGTTCAAAGAAACAGAACCTCTATCCCCAAGCTGTCAGGTACAGCACACACATGTGGTCCTGGTGCTCAGTATTTTCCTTGTAAATGTGATGCACAGAACATGAAAGTATGCCTGCTCTCAAGCTGATTGGAGACTTAAGTGTTTTCTCTCTCTCTGTAGTCCTGTAATAGTTCAGAGGTGCATTTAGAGGTAGATGCTTTTGGCAACATGATTGAAAGGCAGAGAAAAAAAAATGATGATTGAAATATTTATTCAAGTTTTCCCACCACTTATAAAATGCCTGAAATGTAGCACTTTTTTAATAGAATGTTTAGTTTGATTACTTAAATTTTAGTGACCACAAAGTTTCTTACTTCCTTCAGAATAAAGGTGCATATGCATGAAGTGTATGCTATTATGAATATGTTCCTAGACAGTACTGTGATTTCTTTATGAATGGGTGTAGGATTTTAAGAGGAATGCGTGTATGAGTTACTCTGACTGTTGCTTGTGCTTCAGGTTCTTGTGTTGTTCGGGATGCCACTGGGAATGTTAATGATACCATTACCACAGAGCTAACGAACTGTACTTCTGCAGCCTGCAAATTAAACTTTGACTTTTCCTATTGTGAAAGCAGTCCTTGTTATTATGGACTAATGAACAACTTTCAGGTAAGCATTGACATTCTATCAATGATAAAGATATTCTGTATTTATCTAGGGATTAGACCACTATGAAATCTGGCCATTTAGAATATAGCTATACATTAGAAGGGAAGACAGTTGTTACTTTCTGTTTATCACTAACTAGGCAAATGGAAAATACATGAAAGAGTAAATAAACTCTTGAGACGATTCATGAATCAGGCTCATTCTCTGGTTGTGTTGTCCTTTACACAAATCAACATCAATGCCCTATGCTTAGTATTGGGAAATGAAAAGCCAACTAAACTCTGGCTCTGCAGTTGAATATTTGGCATTCTCTAAAACTAATGGTGAGACTGGACAGAGTGATACTCAACAAAACCACTGGTAATATCAGTGCAGCACAACACAGCAGCAAAGATGAAAGGCAAGATGGCTCTCCAAATGAAGCACTGAGTGGAGGTAGCGAATGGTAGCAGTATGCACACACCTGCGTCTTGCATTAACACAGTGACCATGCCCATGATAAACTGAGGGTTGTGAGAGATCGAGTATGAGAAAAACTGTATCACCCAAATATAATAATCATTTTTGAGAGCTGATTTAAAAAAAAATAAAAAGCCTGTTTTGAAATGACCAGGACAATGGGGACAATTGAGCAATTTGATTGGTAACTAGATGTGTGTTACTGTGATGGGCTGGCCAAATTAAGCCGGGCCAGCGGCTTTAGCTACAATTTCCAAATGTCTGCCTGTTAACAGACACACACTGAACCTTATGCATTAAAAATGTAGGGCTGCAAATGATGTGGGCTCGGGCCCAGTTGTCCGTGATTGGAACCTGGTGACAGGTGGCGCTTCATCATCCTCTTTTTTCTGTCATATGTTCATTTGGAAATTTACAAGAGAGAGGTTTTTAGTGGTAAATCTGTTTTAATAACTTGTACTTTACTTCTTCATGCTATTTACCAAACTACTCTAAGATTTCCCCAGTATTAGTTTCCTTTATTAGAATCTTCAAACTGTGACTATTCAATCCTCTGCTCTTTGTCAACCGTTTTTAAGACTTCTTTTGCAATTCTGCCACTTCATTTAGGTGATGAGCATGGTGTCAGGGTTTGCACCCTTGATCTCTGCAGGTATCTTTTCAGCCACACTTTCATCAGCTCTAGCCTCTCTCGTGAGTGCTCCCAAAATATTTCAGGTAAATGTTTCATAGTATAATTTTTATTGGGGGAATGTTAAGACATTTCAATTTTTGGATTGTTGCTATATTCAAGTAGGTTACCTTTATCAATCTCACATGTTTGTTATGTTTGCCTATACGTATATTAAAACTGGTATAAATTTTATGTATATAAATGCTATGTGGATCCATACAAACATTTGTGCATTTTTCTAGTGTCATGGTATATGCTTAGAAAGGATGATTTGAGGATCTGGAGAGATGGCTCAATTGTATGGTCTCATGCAAAAGATCCAAATTCCGTTTCCAGATTGTACATTGGGTTACTCATAATCACTTATGACTCCAGACATATACATAATTAAAAATGACCAAAGTAAGTATTTTAGGGATAAAAGAGTTTTTGACATACTTAGCATAAAAGTCTAGGGTTCTTAGGAGTGCAGTCTAAGACTAATCAGAAGTAGTAAATAATAGTTTCAGTTAGCATGTTGCCAACTTAAATATTTTATGTGGCTAACATTACAGTAATTGTAGTAGGTACAGTGATAACTAGAATGAGCATTGTTCCCTGTAGTGATCATAAGTAGCTAATACTGGATATTTTTAATTACTAAGTCATATAAGTGTTAAATTTCTATCCTTGTTCTTAATATTATATTTATAGCCAAAAAAAGTATAGTAATAGTGTAGAATATGATTTTTAAGGTAGCATCTATTAAGATTTAAAGAAAAGTGATTAAACTTTATAATTAGGGTTTTAAATCTACTTTTATGTTTCAGATTTGGACCTAACGTTTCTTTTTTAAAAATTACTTATTTTTATTTTATGTACATTAATGTTTTGCCTGCATGTAAGTCTGTGTGAGGGTGTCAAATCTTAAGAGTCACCGACAATCATGAATAGCCATACACATGAGCTGCCACATGGGTGGGAATTGAACCCAGGTCCTATGGAAGACTAGTCAGTACTCTTAACCTCTGAGCCATCCCTCCAGCATCCCTGAACTTAGTTTCTTAAAGTCATAGGTACACTGTATTGTACTTACCAGCTTCCAATTTTCTTTTTTATTGTACTATTATTTCAAATGTCTGCTTTGCTGATTCTTCAAAGGAAGAGTTTCCACATGGGGTGGGGTAAGACAACATCTTAAGCAGTGTTATATAAACAAACTACCCTTGTGCTATTTGAACTATTTTACCTAGCCCTTATTTATAGTCTGTAGGTGAAACACTGTGAGACAAGAAACAAAAAGCATCGGAAATAAGAGACACGGGCTCCAATTCATTATTAACCTGTTTTAACTGTTAGCAGATTTGTGTATCTTAATTTTCATGTATTTCATTTTAATGTTTGTATTCTTTTATTAGGCTCTATGTAAGGACAATATCTACCCAGCTTTCCAGATGTTTGCTAAAGGTTATGGAAAAAATAACGAACCTCTTCGTGGTTACATCTTAACATTCTTAATTGCACTTGGATTCATCCTAATTGGTTAGTTCTATGAAGGATATATTATATAGGTTTTGGTATGTTTATATATAGCATTACCTATAATCATGAATATCAAATTATTAACAAAATGTGCCTTGCTTTAGTGCACTAAATTAATTTCTAATCAAAGAAGAGTAAGTAAAATACTGCAAATAATAGTGACAGATATTATTTACTAAAATTGTTGCTATTACATGAAATTAGGGATGGAGGAAATAGAGGAGGTTACACTTTTTTTTTTAAGACTCATGTAGCTCAGGGTGGCCTCCTATTATTCACAATTGTAGTCGAATATACTCTTGAATTCCCGATGGTCTTGCATCTATTCCCAAGGACTAGGATTGTAAGCATGTACTCGTAAAATATATGATAGTGTAGGAAAAGGGTACTAGTGTGCCCAGGAAGATAATGCCTCTTTGTGATCATGTGCAAAGCTGTGGATCCTGTTGATTATTCTAAAGATAACATTAGGCTTTCTAAAGAATTGTCTAGACCCTCAAATTAGTTGATTGAAACTTGATTATGCCATCAGTTGTGATAGCAGGATATTAGTATCAGTCTGTGGTAGATTTAGGGGTATTTATTATGCTATTTAAAAGTTAATATTTCAGAATTTGTAGTTTTAAATACATTAATTTTTTTCTTGTTTCTTTTGCAGCTGAATTGAATGTTATTGCTCCAATTATCTCAAATTTCTTCCTTGCCTCATATGCGTTAATCAATTTTTCAGTGTTCCATGCATCACTTGCAAAATCTCCAGGTGATTTCACATTTTAGAAAGTTGTATATGCTAATGGCTATGATTTCTGAGAAAACAAAATTTCTAGTTTTCTAAATTTGGTGTTTGTGAGTTTAGCTCATTAGAGTTGTTTTCTTTTATAATTATAGTTGTTTTCTTTTATAATTATGTCAAATTCAGTGCTCAGAGGTCTTTTGTTATGAAGTACACTGATAATAAGCTGTTTCTTTTCAAAACATTAAAGAGCATTTGGCATATTAAAGAATTAGTCCTATTTTGAGAATTTCTTTACTATTTGCTTATCTGATTCAGTTCTCGTAACTTTGTCATTATTTAATAACTGTTCAGAATTTTTGGTACTGAGGATTGAGCTGGTGCTCCAGGCATGATAATCACAGCACACTCTTCCCCACTGAGCCTAAGTGCCAGCCCCCAACATGTTTTTGCACAGTGAATTTTGTAGAATTCTAGCATAGGGGCCTCTGTCAACTGAAAAAGTACCATGTTGCTTGTGTTCTAAATGGGGCAGGGCTAAAATCAGGAAGAGAATGGAAAGTACAGAAGGATTTAAGTACAGAACAGGCCAGTAGCAGGTGGGGTTTTCAAAAGGAAAGGAAGTATGAACACATGTCTTAGCTTCAGTTTTACTTTCAAAATAAAATTTTATTGAAATAATTTTAAATAAAAAGTATTTTTGACTATTAGTGATAAGGTTATGAGTAGTTTTTAATTCATTATATTTTATTAATTTATATATATATTATTAGTATGTAACTAATACTAATGGAAAGGTATGAATTTCTTGGAGTCACACCAAGATTTAGTTACATGGGTAGGTTGTTTGAAATGTTTAGTAAATTCATTAGAACATGGCTGTGTCTCATGCTGATGACCAGAGGGGAAAGCTGCTCCACCCAGGAGCACGTCTACATGAAGTCTTTCCTTTTTATGGTGCTTCTGTAGTGTTCACTATGATGGGTTGATTTAAAATTTCAAAGATTGTATTGACTGAAGGTCTGAGAAGATGCAGTAATAGGAAAATATTATCTTCACAGTCATTAAGAATTATCAAAACCAGTTATGCTCAATAATAGTCATTGACTTTATTGTTTGATGTTATCCTTGAACTTAAAATTGAGTGTGGCAACCATAATGAAAACTATTTTATACATAATTTAGTGTCACTGTGTAAAGCAGATGAAAACTCTGATTACGTTTTCTGTCTGTCATTGTTAGGATGGCGTCCTGCATTCAAGTACTACAACATGTGGATCTCCCTTCTTGGAGCCATTCTGTGTTGCATCGTCATGTTTGTCATTAACTGGTGGGCGGCCTTGCTCACCTACGTGATAGTTCTCGGACTGTATATTTATGTTACCTACAAAAAACCAGGTCAGTAGTCTTTTCTGCTTAGTAGTTTTACTTAGAAAATGTCGACAAATTCTTGTTACTTTTTATTCAAGCATCTTTTGTATATTTGAAAAGGTGTTACATGTAAAACTTACAAAACCTTCTTTCCAAATAAATTTTTTTTTGTTTTTAAAGTACATTTAAAATGTTTTATTCCTATAGAATTTCATTCTCACCCATGAATTAAATGTGACTAACCTTTTTTAAGAAAAATAATAAACTAACATTCTGTTGTGGTTATGTTTTAAAATTGTCCTGAAGGTTCCAGATTTGCAGCACTCTAGTAACTACTAGCAAAATATGTATGTGTATGTTTGCATGTGTGACACACACATATGTAGCCTCTTGTCATCTTAGAGCTGCTGTATGGCAAGGAGTTCAGGCACTGGGAAGATGTGTCTTTCCCAAAGAAAGTAAATATATATAGTTTGTGTATTTGTGTGTTTGTTTGAGACAGGGTTTTCCTGTCCTGGAGCTCACTCTGTAAACCAACTGGCCTTGAACACACAGAGATCCATTTACCTCTGCTTCCCAAGTGCTGGGATTAAAGCTGTGCACCATCATTGCCCAGCTAATAACGAATGTTCTTAACTGAGAAATAATTAGTGATTATCATCTTCCACATTTAAGATGTCTAGGTAGATCTCCATGTAAGGTGATGAGGGTGAGGGCTATTAGGATTTTTTTCAGTGTTCAGAAAAAGATCTAGCGTAAAAAAGACAGGAGAGTTTGGTCCACTGGCATAATCTGAGAAGGAGCAGGTCCAGCAGTTTACAGCAGCGATGAGACATTTCGGTCTGGATGTGAAGTGATGAGCTTTTGGATTCAGACGGTGGCTGTAGAAGTGAAAGGGCAAAGGAGCTATATTTTTAACTTTTAAGAGCAATTATTCCTTCAAAATACCTCTTAAGCATATATTAATGTGTTTAAAATTAAGGACCAACCTTTTTATTCAATAGTAGAAGACATTTTCATGTTTAAATAGCTTGAATGTATTTACTGTACTTAAAATATGCCTTCAGCTACAGAATGAATAATTTTAAATATTTTATTGTTGAGAGATTGTTCTGAGTTATGTGAACATGCCATCATCATGCCCTTATTAGGTTATGCCTTTTTAAATTGCGTCGACAGATATGATATCTTCATATATTTCTATATACTGGAACTATGCCACGTTATAGAATAGTGCTTTATTTTAGCAATTGACTTATAAACATGAAGATTCTGCCCTATTTACTGTCAATCCCATATGTCTGAATTGGCTGCTGTTGGTATCACACTGTGTGACCCTGTTTTCCCACAGATGTGAACTGGGGATCGTCCACTCAAGCCCTGACTTACCTGAGTGCACTGCAGCATTCAATTCGTCTCTCTGGGGTGGAAGACCACGTGAAAAACTTCAGGTAGGTGACGAGGACCATGGAGGCGTTCTCTGGTCGCTGGTCATTCAGTTCTTAAACCATTTCTGTATGGATTAGTACAGGATATTCTGTTTTGTTTGGATGGCCCTGGGCAGTTAATTATTCAAAATCAAATCATGCAAAAAAATTTGTCTTCCTTCAAACTGTTATGAAAGTTTTGGAACTGTCATTTAAAGAAAAATAACTTTTTTCTCTTTGTAATCATTCATGTTGATTACTATTTATGAGTTTTTTTAATATTTTTTATGTGTATGGACATTCTGCTGTGTCTGTGCCTGTGCACTTGCATGCCTGGTGCCTGCAGAGGCCAGAGAAGAGGCTTAGATCCCCTGAAACTGGGGTTACACACAACTGTGAATTGTTATGTGGTGTTGGTAATTGGCCCCTGTAAGGGTTTTTTTGTTTATCTGTTTGAGACAGGGTTTTGCTGTATATGTATATGTTTCACTCCAGCTGGCCGGGGACTCCCTTTGTGTAGACCAGACAACCTTTCGACTCGGAGACCCCACCTGCCTCTGCTGCTTGAGTGCTGCGAGCACAGCCATGCCTGCTGCTGTAGGCTCATTTTGATACACCTATTTCTGTAATTTATTTAGACTAAATAATTCTGAATTATTCCCATTACTCAGCAACTAAGTGGAAACCACTTGCAGTGATCGACTGCGTTTAGCCAGAGTGCTTGCCTTGTACTTCTCTCAGGGAATGGCTGTCAGTAGTCTATTAGTCACCAGTGAAGCTTCTCTAATGTAGTGCCAAAGCACTGTAGAGAGGTGCTTTTCTATATTCAGAAATATTATGTAGATGAAGTCTAAGACCTTTTAGCTTTCTTATACTTAATATTTTCATAAAATAATATTTTCTAAATTGATCAAATTTTTTAGCTGTGAAGAGGTGACTTTTTCTGGTCATGAGTCATCACCTTTCATTGGCTTCTGTCTGTAATTGTCTTTCTGGAACACACAAGTTGTTCCAGAGAACATCTTTGAAGAGGAGATACATTTCAGGAAACAATTGTTCCCTTGAGAAGGAGAATTTGTGTGTGTTCCTTATGTTGCTCTTTTGGGCACCTGCTCACCCACTGTCCCTTTTCTCTGAAATGAAAAGCTTCCAGAGACCGCAGCTTTGCAAGTGAGAGAGGGGAGGAAAAATAAGAATGAGAACCCTGGTAGAAAAACTCAAATGTTAGTGTATTTTGGGTAGTTGATGTGACAGAAAAATAGAAATTATTGTTTTGTGAGTTGTGTAACATAAATGAATATATGAACAAAAGTTACAATTAGTCTTAAGCCAAGTAAAAACTTGATTGGACTTATTTTAATTGAGTGAATTTTTTTAAGTTCTTTTTATCCCAGTTTGGTTTTTTGCTGTTTAATAATTTATATAGTTCAACTATTCTGTAACTCAGTATACTCCTGTCTCTGCTCCCATGTATGTTTTAAATTTTTTTAAATATATTTTTTTATTTATTATGTATACAATACACCTCTGTGCCAGAAGAGGGCACCAGACCTCATTACAGATGGTTATGAGCCATTTTGTGGTTGCTGGGAATTGAACTCAGGACCTCTGGAAGAACAGCCAGTGTTCTTAACCTCTGAGCCATCTCTCCAGCCCCCTGTTTTAAATTTTTATAAAAATTATAATAGACATAGCATGAAGGGGAGAGTTTGTAAAATTTTGCCTTGAAAACCAATACTTAGCTTATCTATCCTCTATGTTCTTTTCTTACACCATAGGCAGCGGTTTCTGCAATTTGACTGCTTTGTTACCTGTTCATTTTGTATCCATAAAGCCGTATTTATCTTCCCGTGCTTTCTGATTTTTTGATGGCCATTATTTTCTCTGTTTCTGGCTATAGTGCATAGATGTACTCTTCCCATACTTGCAATACATTGTTTGGTGTTACTTTGATTAATTCATATTTAATATTTGTATTTTTATGATGTTAAATGGTAGATACAGTATAATTTTTTACTTTGTTGTATTAAAATTAATAATTCTTTTTATATTTAATTTTTGTGCTTATCTTAGCCTTCATCAATGTTGCCAAAAGTTTGAGTTACTTGATGTTTCTTTCTAATAGTTTCCTTTTTCATTTATTTATTTATTTATTTATTTTTTTATTGAGAAAAAAAATTTCCACCTCCTCCCAGCCTCCCACTCCTCCCCCCCTCCCCACACTCCTCTCCCCCTCCCTCTCCAGCCTGAAGAGCAGTCAGGGTTCCCTGCCCTGTGGAAAGGTCCAAAGTCCTCCCCACTCCATCCTGGTCTAGGAAAGAGAACATCCAAACTGGCTAGGCTCCCACAAAGCCAGGACATGAAGTAGGATCAAAACCCAGTGCCATTGTCCTTGGCTTCTCAGCAGCCCTTATTGTCCACCATATTCAGAGAGTCCGGTTTTATCCCCTGCTTTTTCAGTCACAGTCCAGCTGGCCTTGGTGAGCTCCAATAGATCAACCCCACTGTCTCCGTGGGTGGGTGCACCCCTTGTGGTCCTGACTTCTTTGCTCATGTTCTCCCTCCTTCCGCTCCTCATTGGGACCTTGGGAGCTCAGTCCAGTGCTCCAGTGTGGGTCTCTGTCTCTATCTCCATCCATCGCCAGATGAAGGTTCTATGGTGATATGCAAAATATTCATCAGTATGGCTATAGGATAGGATCATTTCAGGTTCCCTATCCTCAGATGCCCCAGGAACTAACTGGGGACCTCGCCTTGGGCACCTGGAAGCCCCTCTAGGTCCAAGTCTCTTGCCAACCCTAAGATGGCTCCCTTAATTAAGATATGTGCTTCCCTGCTCCCCCATCCAACCTTCCTTTATCCCAATCATCCCGTTGCCCCAAGTTCTCCCCATCCTACCCTTCTCACTTTTCTCTCCCCATCTCCCCTTACCCCCCTCCCACCCCACCCTTAAGATCCCGATTTTTGCCTGGCCATCAAAAGGTCTGATCTCCAAAATATATAAAGAACTCAAGAAACTAGACTTTAAAATGCTAATTAACCCAATTAAAAAATGGGGCACTGATCTGAACAGAAAATTCTCAACAGAAGAAGTTCAAATGGCCAAAAGACACTTAAGGTCATGCTCAACCTCCTTAGTGATCAGGGAAATGCAAATCAAAACAACTTTAAGATATCATCTTACACCTGTCAGATTGGCTAAAATCAAAAACACCAATGATAGCCTCTGCTGGAGAGGTTGTGGAGGAAGGGGTACCCTCATCCATTGCTGGTGGGAATGCAAACTTGTGCAACCACTTTGGAAAGCAGTGTTTTGCTTTCTCAGGAAATTCGGGATCAACCTACCCCTGGACCCAGCAATACCACTCTTGGGAATATACCCAAGAGATGCCTGATCATATGACAAGGGCATTTGTTCAACTATGTTCATAGCAGCATTATTTGTAATAGCCAGAACCTGGAAACAACCTAGATGTCCTTCAATGGAAGAATGGATGAAGAAAGTGTAGAATATATACACATTAGAGTACTACTCAGCGGTAAAAAACAATGACTTCTCAAATTTTGCATGCAAATGGATGGAAATAGAAAATAGTATCCTGAGTGAGGTAACCCAGACCCAAAAAGATGAACAAGGGATATACTCACTCATAATTGGGTTCTAGCCATAAATAAAGGTCAGTGAGTCTATAATTTGTTATCCTAAAGAAGCTAGATAAGAAGGTGAACCCAAAGAAAAACATATAGCTATCCTCCTGGATATGGGAAGTAGACAAGATAGTTTCCTTTTTCTTGAGTCTGGGTTCTTCTAAAGTGCAGTCTCTATGCTCCTTGACAAAGAAGTTCTGCGCTGGTGCTGAGGCCTTCCTTGCTAGTCAAGTTCTTAATGTAGATTAATGTGGCTTTGCCATTCTTCAGGGAATTTAAGTCATTTTTAAGGCTTTCTTTTGATCTGATTAGATTTCTCAGAAAGGAATATTTTAAGCTGTTTATATGTCATTGTTACCAGAATTCTGAGAGCTAGGTAGGGAAGGAGGTGAATGTTTCGGAGTGTTGCCCATAAACAGCCTCTAATCCTCTAGCTTAGATTGCTGACTTCTGCCCTTAGCTATTTCAGTGTCTTCTGGACCACAGAGGCCTCTTTAGCAAGAAGCCATGGTGATGGAAATGACGGCTCAGTCTACTTGCTTCTTATGTAGACTTCTTATGTTCCTGATTCAGATTTCTTTAACACATCATCACTGCTGTTTCCAGACCCTTGCACTCTAGGCGGCGTTGCTGCACTTGTGGTATAGAATCAGCAGCTTCACAGCCTCCTCTTCATTTAGTGTTTCCTGATGGTCTGCTCCCCCATTCTGCTGCTTGCTTTATATCTTTCAATATTGTAGTGCTGTTACTCATGGGTTTGTTAATTTCATGGTTTTATCACTTTAACAGAATTATATTGTTTATGGGGGAGTCTACTCTAACAAGAAGCTTTTTAAAAAGCAATAATTAAATGTTGAAGGAGTTGACAGATGTTCAGACATAAATGGTTCATGGCAAGTAGGCAGATTTGGCCATGTGGCACTACTGTTCCTTATACATTGCCATTCTGTTTGCCCCTAGAAGATGTGTTTTGTCTTTGTGATCAAAGTCATCACTACACCCATGATCTTGCTTACAGGAAAGAAAGTATGGGAAACAACTCACTTTTAAGTAGCATAGTCTGAAAAACAAACACCTTATGGGTTGTAAAATACTCAGAGTTCCTTTGCTGAAGAATCATGCTACCTGTGGAAGCTGAAAGGTGAGACAAGACAGTCTGAAGAGGGCACTGAGCTGTTTGGGCCATAACGTTACATTTGATTACTCCAAAGCACCTCTCAGACAGAATTGATTTTTGAGCTACCTCACTAAATCTCTAAATCTTGGTTAATACTTTTATTATTTTAGGGATGAGTCAAAAAGTTAGTGTTTAAGTTAGAATTAAAGAAAAATTTAAAGATTCACTTAGTTTTGTTTTATGTATATGTGTGTCCTTGCCTACATGTATGTCTGAGAATCAGAAGAGGGCATCGGATCCTCTGAAACAAGTGTCAGCCTGTTGGTAGTTGCCCTATGTGTACTGGAACCCTCATCCTCTGCAAGAACAGGAAGTGCTCGTAGGCTCTCTGGGTTCTTACCTTAGGAGTCCTTACTGAGCATCTTTCCAATCCTAACCTTAGGAATCAGTCAGTTCTTTGCTAATTTCAGGAACTTTGCTATCTGTTTTGGTGGATAAATTGATACCTGGATATTATATAAACAAAATTTATTTCCTCTTTTAGTTAGTGAGAATGAGCTTTTATTTTTCAATACAGAGTCTCTCTCTGTACTCCTGGCTGTCTTGGAACTTGCTATTGTAGATCAGGTTGGTCTCAAACTCGCAGAGATTTGCCTGCCTCTGCTTCCCGTGTGCTGGGATTAAAGGTGTGCACTGCTGTTGCCAACAAAAAAGCAAGTTTAAAACATCTAAATATCTTTTCACCTTTTCATGTTTGCAGAGATACTTGAGTGCAATTTTGGCATTCATGGTTATTAACTAGAATGAAAATATTTTAGTCCAATAGAACATGTAGTTGATTCTACTTACATCACAGAAGTCTTAAGTAAGCTGGATTAGACAGGGTTGATACATGAAGTGATGCCGTTATGCTGAGATGGAACTCACCTGTTTATATTGTGGTTTCGTTGTGCTCAGTAAGTTTTTTAGGATCTATGAAATGGCTGGAACATTTCTGACCTTTGAAGATAAAAAATTATTATCTCATTCTTAAACAAAATAGTAATTTCTGTGGCATTCCCAGAAACTCAGTGTTGTTTGGAGGGGTATCTGGTATGCTATTTCTTACAAGGTTTTTTTTAACATTTGGTATTATTTATGTGTTATATATGTCTATTTGTCTGTACGAATGTGCTCTGTGTCTCCAGGGGCCCTTGACAGCCAACTGGAGTTACACGTAGCCTTGAACTGTCTGACGTGGCTGCTGAGAACTGAACTTGGGTCCTTTGGAAAAGCAACAAACACTGTTAACCACTGAGCCATCCCTCCAGTCCCACATAGCCAGCATCTTCCTAAAGTTCTGTAGCTTTGCTCTTAGAGAAACCACATACAAACTTCAGATTTCAAACTGTTCTAATTTTATTTTATTTATTTTATCTCATATTAGGCCACAGTGTCTTGTTATGACAGGGTCTCCAAACTCGCGCCCTGCTTTACTTCATCTTGTTCATGACTTCACGAAAAATGTTGGTTTGATGATCTGTGGCCATGTGCATATGGTATGTATTAGTTTTGTGTTCTATAGTAAATCATTCTTTCACTCATCAACTGGGATTGTAAATTACAAACTTTGTAGATTAGAAGTCGTTAGACAAATTTGTAGGATTTCTTTTAGATGTTTTATTCAAAATGCTTTTTCCTTTAAGTCACAGTCACAAAGTAGCATTTTTAAACAGATACTTTGTGATTTGAATCAGGAGTAAGAAAAATATCTATAGTAAGTTTTCACCCCCAAAGTAGTACTTTTTTAAAAAATATCATTTTGAATCTTGAAAATAATTGTGAAATGATGCATTGTGCATTGGAGCTGAGGTGAGGTTTTTTTTTTTTGTTTGTTTTGTTTTTTGTGGCACCTCCTGGCCAGCTGCGTCAAGAGAAGCTGACTATTTCCTTCCCAGCCATTGATTGTTGGATACTTGTTGAAGTGGATGACAAAAATTTTTTTTTTTTCCTGAGGAGCACATGGTCACAGAAGTAGCTGCAGATGTTCTGGAAGGGTTTTGTGGTCCAAGTCAGTGGGAATGACAGAGTTTTCCATGACTCAAGGTGTCTTGCTCCACAGTAACATGTGCCTGCTATTGAGCGAGCGGCATTCCTGCTGTAGATCAAGGAGGATTTGGGGAGAGGGCACAAGTCTTTTTGAGATGCATCATGGACACAGTCTAAGGGCTGTTAGCTTGGCTACTGTAAAAAAGGGAGAGAAGGATATTTCTGTACAGTAAGTACTGTGCCTCAGCAGCTGGGGTCCAAAAGAGCGAGCATAACCTGAAAACTTTTCGGTCTCTCTAAAATGATGTGTGCCAATGTGTTATCAGAAAACCCTTAAAGAAGGTAGGCAACAAAGGACCAGACCAGCCAAGACTCAGCATCATGTCACTCCACGCATCCTGTGACACTGCTCTGAACAGACAGTATGATAAGAAAATGAGGAGGCTGCAGAATATGGTAAACATTTGCCCAAGAGAATGAAGGGAAGCCACCAAAAAATGCCAGGAACAGATTGCCAAGAGAGTAGGCTGTCCTCACTGAGAATTTCTATTTGTAAATCTGAGTCCAGTTAAAAATAAGTCTTTTAAGAGTAACAAATAAATGATAGGCATTGGAGGGTAAAAAAAGAAAAACTAGAATGTCGTATTTGTTTTTTCCCCAAACTCTGCTCAATTATTTAGGTGCCAGAATGTTTGTTGTTCGTTGTATTGCAATTCCTGTAACAGTCGCTCTTGTATGGTTGCAAAGCCAAGGCCACAAATATCCATGTGCACACTTGGGCTTGTGTGGAGGGTTTGTCGTCAGCATTGACCCCACTCAGGGTACATGGAGTGTTCTAGTTTGTTTCTAGCTGAGCCTTGAAGTCAGTGCCTTGAGCACAAGATGTTAGAAAGAAGGCAGTTTCCATTATTAGGAGATATTTTTCTCTACATATTTTTTATTTTTATAGCTTAATTTATTTTTATTTTATGTACTTTGTTTTGCCTGTATGAAACAGTGAGTTGTTTTGTGGGAAATTGTTTTGCTGGAAATTGAACCTTGGTCCTCTGGAAGAGCAGCCTGTACTCTTAACCACTGACATCTCCAGCCCCTGACATACTTATTTTTAAGATATATACTTTTAAATACTTTCAAAGTTTTGTTTTATATATCTGTGCCTAACAAATTTTATAGATTGTATAAAAGTATCAAAATGGAATTTTGAAAAAAAATGTAATTTTGAGTTAGCAAAGCCCATTTCCTTCATCTTATAGAAGTATATGCCTTACTTTGATTTTTTACTGATATTCTCAATTTACTGTGATTCAGTAACCCAGACACTTAGACCAAACAGAAAGCAAAATTGGAGACTTTCTGTAGAGAAATAGAAGGCTTTATTTTGCATTGTGTAATATCTTTCCATTTTCAGTAATTGCAAATTTCACTCATTAATTTAGGATTGAAATATTTTGTTTTAAAATCTTTTTTCCTCCCTTCTCCAGGCACCAGCAGTGCTCTGCCTTTTTGCATAACCTTAGGTATTAGAATTCCCTCAGGGAAAATGAAAGACTGTTATTTCACTTCTCCCCCATCCACACAAGCACATTCTTTCAGACCAATGCAAGAGGATACCTTTTCTAAGTGTAAAAGGAATTGTGTGTCAAGTAAAAAATTCTGATAATATTTTGTTTTAAAGGGCCCTCGAAGACAAGCTATGAAAGAGATGTCCATTGATCAAGCCAAATATCAGCGATGGCTTATTAAAAACAAAATGAAGGCTTTCTATGCTCCGGTTCATGCAGATGACTTGAGAGAAGGTGCCCAGTATTTGATGCAGGTGATGAGTTTTTCACGTGGCTGGACATTAAAGCTTTTATGTTTTCTACTTAATTGTTCATGTAGTCTATATCTTTTTAAAAATATCTTTTAGCAAACCACTAATCATTTTGTAATTTAGAAATCTGCAGAAATGTTGTGTTGTTGGGTGACACAAAGGGCCTATTAGAAATTCTCTTAACCTGTTCACCTCTCTCTGTTAGGTGTTTCTCACTTCCTTTACCCACCAGGTTTGTTTTTAAAACATTGAGTCATAGCCATCTTTATTTTGCTTTTTCGAAAATTCTTGTCTTTTGTATTTGTTCATTTACTAGCTCTTAGTTTAGACTTTATGTATTTTATAAGCACCACAATAGGAAATTTGGAATCATTCCCAGGTTTAAATGTTAGTGCTGTTGCTGTCTTATTATGGATCTTGAACCGAACTATTTACTTAACTTCGGAACTCTGTTTTCACTTTCCTAAAGATAATAGGGGATATAAATTGAAACAGTGTTTACCGACTTAATCTTAAAACCAAACAAGTACACATTAAAAGTAAAAAGCGCTGTGATTAGAACTGTCTGTTAAAGGTGAGGTGAGATTTTTAGCTCTGCTGCATGCTTCTTAGAACGTAGGAATAATCTTTGGAGCTTTGTTAGGAATAAATAAACTTTAGGAAAGCCAAGCGGTGAGTAGGTTGTAAGTAATTACGACCCTGCTGCATGGAAGCTGCTGCAATTTAATGACGGCAGAAAATGAGAAAATTTACTGTATACAGGTGGCTTTGAAAAGGTTGTCTGTAATTGCTGTCAATGAAAAGGAATGAAATGTGTCCTTACAAAGACTGGGCAAAAGTCATTTTGAAGCAAGGTTTTGTGGATGCCATTGATTGAAGACCAGCTTGGGATACATGGTAAGGATAAGCTTCCATGTAGCCTTCCATGGCTACAAAATAGAAAGAGAGCCAGATGCAGTAGTGCACAGCTGCAGGCTTAGCTCTTTGGAGACTGGGGATTATCCCGTGCTTTTGGCTGGCTTGGTCTACACCATGGGTTTCAGGCCAGCCAGGTTTATATAGTGAGACCTTGTCTTAAGTAAAAATTGAAACAAAACCATTATTTTAAAGATGAATTAAAAGCCTAGAGATAAAATGCGAATTTTAAAAATTAGGAGAATATATAAAATATTCAGAGAATGATTTTCTAAATGAAACCCAGAAAATAGAACTGTGAAAAATATCACTAATCTTTTAAAAGTTTAAATCTTTGAGATTTTAAGGGAAACATAAACATTATGGGAGCATACTAATCCTGAAATATAGCCAGTAAAAGAATGGAGCGGTGTGTCTGGATATGCTGTAGGCCAGTAAATGAAGGGGGAGAGGGGAAGATGTGGATCAAAGAAGGAAGCTAGATGCCATGACTAGAGTCAAAGCAGTTCTGTAGCCATAACGACCAGGACCACTTCTGTCAGGTAAAGAGAAGTTGGATGTGTTTGAACTGCCACAATCACTGCTAGACAAGAGCCTGGTGATAGAACAAGAGTAGACTTCACGCATACACCTCTTCCCATGTAAAGATGAATCTGCAGTTTTAAGTTCAGGCACAAGAAACCACCTTGTGAATGGTTAGTTAGAGTTGTCTAATCAGCTCCCAAAACAATTTTGGTGGAGCCCCTGGTTGTCTCTCAGAGACTGAGGGTGGGCCCTTATTGCTGATGACACCATTCACTTAGGACATGGGAATTAGATGATTTGATCTGGGTCTGACCTAAAAGCCTCTTTTCCTACAGTCTAGCTTTCATGGTTCCAGAAAGTGCTATTTAAGAAGCTAAAGGGGGAGGGGGGTGAGGAGCTCTTAAATAAATAATTCACCAATGTTGCAATGTTTCTGAAACATGATACTTTACCAGCATGGCAAAATATGCATAAGTGGCACTCACATGTTGGAGGCAACCAACAGCTGTCTAATTAGATCCAATCAGGAGAGTAATCATGGCTGGTACTGGAAACCTAGCCAGATTACACAGGCTAGTGAGGTCACTAGAGAAGATTTCATTGTTGCCACTTCGCAGCATCATTTGTAATAGCTTAACACAATTATAATTAATTTCAACAAACATCAGATAATTAAAATGTAAAGTGTATCACTATAGAATTCTGCATATAGGTGAAAACTGCACACAGCCATGTGTGTAGTAATAAGGGGCGGCGGGGCTGCGTTCCCAGCACCCCGGCTGCCTGGCTAGCTTATGCCCCCAAATAACAACACACAACCTGTATTCATTTAAACACTGCTTGGCCCTTTAGCTCTAGCCCTTACTGGCTAATTCTGATATCCCGATTAACCCATCTCTAATAATCTGTGAGAACCGGTTTTACCGGGAAGATTCTAGCCTAGTCCATCCTGGGTCAGAGCTTCATGGCGTGTGTCTGCCCGGGAGCGGGGCATGGCGTCTCTCTCTGAGGCATCTGCCCCTGAGAGGAGAGCTGTGGAGTCTGAGCTCACTTCCTCTTCCTCCCAGCATTCTGTTCTGTTTACTCCTCCCACCTATCTTCTAACAAATGAGGGCCAAGCAGTTTCTTTTTATTTAACCAATGACCTTCCTCCATCACATGTGGGTAAATCTTAGTGTTAAAAATAGCAGCTCTTAAAAGTACATGAAAAAATAGAGGTGCAATTTTTAAAAATTGTAAAACCTTTACTTGGATATGTCTCCAAACAATAGAATTATTAATATATGTGATAAGTGCACATGTAGATACATGCAGTTCTTCATGTGTATTTCATATGTCTGTCTGAACTGTGCTTATTGCTTTGTGATTTATAACTTTTTGTAGGTTTTGTTGTTCTTTTTTTTTGTTGTTTTTTCGAGACAGGGTTTCTCTGTGGTTTTGGAGCCTGTCCTGGAACTAGCTCTTGTAGACCAGGCTGGTCTCGAACTCACAGAGATCCACCTGCCTCTGCCTCCCAAGTGCTGGGATTAAAGGCGTGAACTTTTTGTAGTTTGTAATAGTTTAGTACTTCGTGTGTCTACTATGTCTGGTAGCGATGTGTGTGATGAGTTAATCCTGCTGGCTTTTGTAAGCTTTCAGAAATATTTTGATAACCACTTACATATGTAATAAATTTTATGAAGGAATTCTTCCTTAAAGAGAACTCACTAGAGCAGATTTCTTTTCCTCTCATGGTGAAAAAGGTTGCAGTGGAGCTGCACGGCCTCAGAAGCCAGAGAACCACTGCCCTAGAAAGCCTGTGTGCTGTACAGCCTTGTAATCTGGCAGGATTTCAAACTAATCTAGTGTTCATCGTCCAACTAACGTGCTTTCTATGGATCAGGAGGGTTCTCTCTGTGAGAGGAAGACAGAATAAGCACAGCTGTAGCACTGCACCTCTGGAAGGGGCGGAGCTAGCTGACAGTTGTTCTCGCTTATTTGCAGCCTACTTCTGCGGAGTTAGTGTAAAGCCACTGGAAGATCTTGTTTCCCTTTTTCCTTGTGGAAACCTATCACATAAGTATTAGATTTATCTTGTTTTTTAAATCATTGTCAAAAAGTGTTCCGTTCATATTTTTCTTCACTGCCGGTATTCTAGCAATATGGTTTTAAGTAGTTGATTCTTTCAGAAGAAATTATACTCTAAACTTCTGATTTCTCTTCTTTCTTTCTGTCTAGCTCATCTTGACTATCAGAATTTATCATTAAACTAGCATTCAGATATCAGCCTTCATTACACTAGTTTGCTAATGAGAACTTTAACAGTGAGATGTTAGCATGGTTAATTTCTTGATTTATGTTTTGGATTTTTTCTTTTTTCTTTTTTTTTTTTTTGGTTTTTCGAGACAGGGTTTCTCTTTAGCTTTGGTGGTCCCGGAACTAGCTCTTGGATACCAGGCTGGCCTCGAACTCCCAGAGATCCGCCTGCTTCTGCCTCCCGAGTGCTGGGATTAAAGGCGTGCGCCACCACCGCCCGGCTGGATTTTTTCTTTTTAAAAAGGCAGTAGACATCTGATTCTCCAACCATTTTTAAACTTTTATTTTATATAGCAAAATGATACTGTTCTTAATATTCCAAAGAGATGACTCTTCAAATTCAGTTGCTTATTTATAATTTCAGCCTAGAATTATCTTGTCTAGCATCTTCTTAGACTTCATTGGTCATGCTAAAACAGTTGAGTGATGGTGGTGGCTGTTTTTGAAAAAGGTTTTTGTGATCTCACTCTGGTTGTCCTGGACCTCATAGTGTTGACCCACCTGGCCTTGAATCACAGTATATGATCCTCTTGTGTCTGTTTCCTGAGCTGAGATTACAATTTTAATCTGGCTAACAGTGTTTTTAAAACTTGTTTTGGTATGCCACACGGTGGTGGTGCATGCCTTTAATCCCAGCACTCAGGTGGCAGAGACAAGTGGAACTCTTAAGTTCAAGGCCAGTCTGGTCTACAAGAGCTAGTTCCTGGACAGTCAGGGCTGTTACTCAGAGAAACCCTGTCTTGAAAAACTAAAACCAACCAAACAAAAACCTTGTTTTTCTTCTAGAATTCATAAATCAAAAGAATTTGGGAATTGCTAATAAAATTGTTTATACTACACGTTTATATCCAATACTGTAACCAGGCTCTAGGAATAGAGTGTGCTGTGATGTACTAAGTGTTGATAAAGTGAGGTCATCATCGTTTTGCTTAATAGTAGAAGACAAAAATGAAAAGCTATATAGCCCGTTCCTCTGTTATGGTTGTGATGACATACAAAATGACAGAGTGAATGCGGTTATTGTCACTAAGTTCTGACACAAGGTGCATAGAGAACAGTGCTGAAAATACAGAGCTGGCACTGCAGGAGGAGAGGCTTGAGGGAAGCATTGTGTTGTTCTTCTTTAAGGATAGAATCTGAAAACTGATTACACCAATGAGGTGTTTTCTGGAGAAGATGCTTTTCTTCAGTAGTAAAGTGTTTTCTTAAATACACACTGCTTCATAGGAATTGGAAATAATATCTCTTTTGTAATAGCTACACTGAGTGAAATATTTAAAGGTGAAAGAGATACATGTGGCAGTGAAAATACTGAGTAATCCTAGAGAGAGTTAGTGCATTAATGCCTCTGAAAGTGTAAGTACACAGAGTGTCTTACAGGATGTTTATTCCATACTTTATAAAGTTAAAACTTTGAGAAACTATTCAGTGGTAGTATGCATTGCTTGTTTGTGTGAGGCCCTGAGTTTAATCCTTAGCACTCAAACAAACGTGCCATTTTCATTATAATAGGATTATGACATAGGTTTTTACCCCAAAAACATGACCTTGATAGTATTTTGTGCCATCAACAAGTCACTGCTGTTTTGTAACTGACTCTGTTAAACAGCTGTTGTGCCTGAAGATACTGAAAACACTGCTTGGTTCTGTTCAACACCTTTGACTCTGCCTCCACCCTGCAAAACAAACAAACAAACAAACAAATATGAGACTTCTATGGTTATACCACCCAGCAGATAGTTTTCATTTTAGAAGAAAGTTGGGATATTCTTTATTGTCCCTTACTTTCTGCACCTTAATTACTGAAATACTTTGGACACTGACTCATGGCCATGCCTTTGATAAATATTTGGATTCATTTTATGTTTTGCAAAAAAAAAAAAAGATTTAAAGATGTTACTTAGAACCATTAGACAAAAACAAATTAGAATGTATCATCAACATAAATGAGAGCTAAAACCATAAAACTTAAAGAAAACAGAGCTAAATTTTCCATGGCTTTGGATCTGGCAGTAGGCTCAGTTATGACACCAAAAGCATGAACCTTAAAACAGCAATAAATTGGACGTTTTCAGAATTCAGATGTCTTCCACAGAGGACTTTGTGAAGAAAATGCAAACAACTTAGGGAATGGGAGAAAGTTCCAGTCACTGTGAATAAAGGGTTTGCATTAGTAACTAAGTATAACTTAGTAGCTGCTGTTGTAATGCAACACCATGACCAAGGTAACTTATAAAAGAAAGTTTATTGTGGGTTATAGTTTCAGAGGTGAGTCCATGGCCATCAGTGCGGTGAGCATGGGGGCAGGGAGACAGGCAGGCAAGCATGGAGATCTGGCAGTAGCTGGAGCTTATATCCTGACCCACAAATGCAAGGCAGAGAAAGAGCTAACTGTGCCTGGTGTGGGCTTTTGAAACATTGAAGCCCATCCCCAGTGACACCTCAACAAAGCCACCCTTCCGGATCCTTCCCAAACAGTTCACCAACTGGGGACAAGACATTCATATATATGAGCCTATGGAGGCCATTCTCCTCCAAACCACCACAGGTTCTGATATCCATAATATGTATTCAAAAACTTCTAACAATAATAATAAAACACAGAATTAGTAAAAAAATAAAACTAAATAATCTCCAGTAAACATGAAAAATATTTTTGATATTAGTTATAAAGGAATTGTAAATCAAAACTACAGTGAGATACTGTTAGTGGGGTTGTAGAAATATGAGAACTTGTGCTTTGTTGACTGTCAGCATAAACTGATAGGCTGCATTCTTTGACATTTATTCCTAAAAACTGAAGGAACAGTTAGATTTTTCTAGTGCAGGTATTTGCCACTGCACCATTGTGCACAGCAGCCAGAAGGTACAAGCTATACACAGCCAGTGTGTTCATCATCAGACGAATGGATAAGCACATGTGACATGTGGATATTTAAATACAAAGATACTGTCTATCTGAGGAAAAGACTACGGTACTCACTTTTGCATTAGCTTAGAAGACAACCTGCTAAGTGAAGTAAGCCAACCATCAAAGTTGTGGGATTTTGCTCATGAAGTAACCAGGTAAAAGTGTATTAAATGTCACAAGGGCCACAAGGGAGAAGAACATGACTAGCTATGAATGGCTGTTACACAGCCGTTGCAGAATTTCTGGTTGGGGTGATGAGAAGGTTCTAGAAATAGTGATGTATTACTTGGCAGTATTGTGGACACAATAAATACTATTTAACATGGTAAACTTGTTAACTTTTTACCATGATTCATTTACGTATGTGTCTGTCTGTGCAGGTTCGTGTGTGGACTTAATAAACAGTGTCTTTCACTCCTTACTGGAACGAGCCAGTCTGTCTAGTTTGATTGGCCAGTGAGTCCCAGAGATCTGCCTGTCTCTGTCTCTGTCACTGTTATTGCAAGTGTGTGCCACAAGGCATGGGCTTTTACATGGATTCTGGGATTGAACTCAGGTCTTCATGCAAACTATCTCCTCAGCCCTTACCACAATTTTTAAAAAGTCATACCCTCCCAGGATATAATTTCTCAGTATACTTGAGAAATAAAACAAAATCTCAGAAAAGAGATTCTTTTGGACTTTGAGGGATAATTGTTATGATTAATTGCAGCTCTTTGTTTCTGTGTCCATGTGTGTTTTAAGACTGGATCTTCCTATCTGTCTCAAATACTATATAACCTATGACACTCACTATATCTGGACTAGGCTGGTTTCAAACTCATTGCAGTCTGGCTCTGCCTCCTGAATGCTGGGATTATTAGCATGCACCCACCATACTTGGCTTGCAACGTAGCTCTTGGTGAGATTGCAAGATGAATACTTGAACTGTTGTGGGAAGGAACCAAACAGATTTCAGAAAGAACATGTAAATGATTGAAAGAATTCAATTTCCTATTGGAAGAATTCAGAACTCCGGACATTAGTGCACCTAGGCATTAATGACTGTTCTCAAAACACATCAAGCAGGCGGGGAATGCAACTGTTGTTTTTCTTTTCTTTTTAAATTAAATACCTTATTTTGGTTAGTAAAAGTACAAAATTTTTCATGTCATCAAGATATAAAAGTGAATTTAGTAGCTTTCAAGTGTTCCATTGTAATATCTGTTTTTATTTGTATTTAGTATAAGTAATTAGGGGTCAATTTTATATGTATAATTTACAAAAAAAATCCTGTCAATGTGGAAATACTTCACCTCTTAAAAATTGGCTTGTTAAATAGTGTATATTTGAAATTGTGTTTTATATTTTAGGCTGCTGGTCTTGGTCGTATGAAACCAAACACGCTTGTCCTTGGATTTAAGAAAGACTGGTTACAAGCAGATATGAGGGATGTGGACATGTATATAAACTTATTTCAGTAAGTATGTTCTGAATTGTTATGTACTTAACAGAAAAATGCTAATTTTGAAGCATTCCCTCAATTTTTACCTTGTTTATTTTATGTAGTCCTTTCTTAATAGGTGCATAAAAATGAGAAAGAACCTCATGTACTATTTGGGTTTTAAAATGGTGACCTACTAGGACAATAATGATCTCTCTTTTCATATAAAACCTATGTACAAGTACTTACGTATAGGTACAGATGCAAATACATCTACAGAATAGCTCATGTATGTAAAATGGTTTGTTGACCTTTTTGTTGTATTTTTTTTTACTTCTTTAATAATTTCAGTGTATCTGAGACATACTAAATCCTTTTAAACTCTTTAATTTCTACTCAACTTTGAGATTGCTTCTTTTTTTTTCTTTTCCAATTGAGTCCTTTTTTTTTTTTTTTTTTTTTTTTTGACCAACTAGTGTGTGGTCAGTTTCCCAGGGATCCCGTTTAAAATGCTCCCTTGTTCTCTCCTCCTCAGCTAGTGGTAGGATCACAGGTCCACTGTCCTCCCTCTGTCTTGGAATTTTGTCTGGCTGGAGCTTGTTGTCATTTTACTGTGAGTTCATATGTGCAGCTGTCCTGTTTATCTAGAAAACTTTCCTTGACATTCCTCTTTAGCTCTTAAGAGATGCTCTCTTCAGAGATGATGGCTGAGCCTTGGGGCAAAGGGTGTGATGTGAATGTCTGACTTAGGGCTAAGCATCCAGTGTGTGATCTCTGCACATTTGACCAGATTGGAGTCTCTGCTAATTGCCATCTACTGCTAGGAGAGGCGTCTGAGGTGGCACCAGTGGACATTGTCTTGCCAGGCCAGTCGTTGTAGCTTGCAGATTTTCATGAACGATGAGGTTGAGGCTTACTTTTCTATAGCACTGGTCATGGACTCTTCCAGCCCCATGAGCTCTGGTAGTAAGGATGAATGCCCGCTCAATGTCCCCATGGTCTGTGATTCAAGTATGTAGTGTCTTCAGCAATAGGTTTTTAGCATCAAGTTATGACGGTTAGCATGTTATACTTAGTGGTCTGTGTGACACCATTGACTAACAACTCAAAAAAATGGTAACCTAATTCTTGATACTGGGGTAATTTGTTAGATTGGGGTATGGCCTCCCCTCATTGTAGGGTAACACCATTATACCTCTATATACATCTATATCTTATGAAGCTTCTACAGTAGTAGGTCTCCAAGTTTTTTACAAAGGATTTTAATATTAATTACCCCTCTCTCCCCATATTTCATTCTTTACTTTGCCTCCCATCTTCCACCCCCGTTTAGCCCATTTTATTCTATTGCTCCCCCTTAATACTTTGTACTACTGTGCTCTATCCCCACATTCTTGAAGGCCACTTCTCCCCTTAATAAATTCCCGACTTCTGTGGACATTACAAATGGAACACATATATGTGAATATTCAAAGGTAACATCCAGAAATGAGAGGAAATATACAATATTTATCTTTCTGGATTTAGGTTTTCTTATTTAATGTGCATGTTTCTAACTCCCATCAATTTACTTGTGAATTTCATTTTCAATTTTCTTAACAGCTGAATAATTTTTCGTAGAAGTGTTACTGTGAACAAGAGTGGGTGTGTATAGGTACCTGCTTCCTGTGTAAGCTGGTAGGCTTCTTCCTGTGCTTTTGCAGTAGCTGAACAGAGTCAGCTTTGTAAGGTCTTCATTATGTCCTACACTGAGCAGCTGCAGAGATTTGCTTTTGTTCCCACGCTGGTCTCTGCTTCATCCTTTGAGTTGCTCTTGTTTGCAGCTACACGTGCTTGTTTGCCTTTTCCACTTGAAGTCTTGTTTTGAGCTCACCGTTCTCGTTTCCTCTGGGTTGCTTGTTTACCATGCAGCTTAGCTTTGTTTCACATCACTGTAACTTCCTTCTCACAGCTTGTCTAGTGGGTTCTTTTTATTTCTTTGCTACTTTGCCTTTCTGGTTCATAGATTTTTGTGTATATATTTAATCCTACCAGTGTTTTGTAGAATTGAATTATTCAATGAGAGAACTTTTTTTTTACCAGATTTACTTGTTAAAACTTGCTCAACCAATGTAATTTATACTAACAGTTCTCACAGTGCCATTATTATTGTACAGTATTACCTTGCATATAAATAATTGTCTTTAAAAACAAACATCAGTGAGAAACTCTTACCTTTAGCAAAGAGGTTCTAAGATGGAATCCACACGCCAGTTTTCCTGTGAATTTTGGTGGGATTACTTGGAACTTACTGCAGTGGCCCCTTTTCCTGAAGTTCCTGGTTTGTTTATAGATTTTTTTTTTCATAGTTTATTTCAAAAGTCTTTCCGGAAATGATCAGAGATCATAGTTGCTCTTTTAGGAGGTCTACTTTGATTAGTAATGCCTGCAGGTGACAAATGAACCCTTACATTGTTAGGTGATTTTAGTAAGGCTAAAGTCTAGAGCTAGGACATCCTGACCATCTGGTGAACAGTCACTGCAGCTGTCTAGTTCTGTGCCTTGTATATGCTATGCCTCAGAAGACAGACAGTAGAAATAAAGATTAAACGATGAGCTCTCAAAGCTGTGAGCTGTACCGGGCTATGCTGTTTTCTTCACAGGCTCAAGAGCAGTGCAATGGAGTAATTAGCCTAGGAGATAGAGAAGCAGCATTTGGGAAATGGATTTATACTCCAACATTAGCAGTAGTTGTAGTCGATCATAATGGCCCTGAAAGGGTCCAAATGCTTTGGTAGTTAGCATATGTTTCTCTTAACTTCAAAGGAATATACCTAAGTTTAAGTGTAGTAGAATTGCTGTAATAGTTGTTTTCTGTCATATTGCCTTGCAAATGGAGGGGGCTAGATGGTGCAGTGTTTAAGACCACTCAGCTCCAGAGGACCCAATTCCTATTCCCAGAACCCTCTTCAGGTGGCTGTAGCTCCAGTTGTAGGGACATCCTCACAGACACTTAGGTACACATTTCTACACACAGACGCAAAATGAAAAATAAAATAAAATTTAAATAAATGAACAACCAAACAATTACCAACCAAACAAATCTGTTCCTGCTCTAAAAAGCTGCTGCATGAGTCAGTTGTGGTGCTTGGTGATGGTGTGAATTCCAGGAAGTATATTGTGAGGTGGCTTTGAGAGAAAGTAGGTGCAGAGAGCTAGGCTGCACTTAGGCTATGCGTGGGAAGTTGTGTATACAGTGTGCTTCTGACCAGAGCATCAGGTCGCACATTACTGTAATAGAAGCTTGCGTAGTATCAAGGGTATTATAGAAGAAAGGTGTGGGATTCGGAACTAACATGATTCATCTCCCACTGACTGATTTTCAAAGCATATTAAAGAAAACAGACATTTAGAGCTGACAGTAATTTTAGAGGTGTATAGGTCCTTTCACTTCCTACAGAGCATAACGGTTCTGTGATGCTTCCTTTCTCCATCGCAGTGATGCTTTCGACATACAATATGGAGTTGTGGTTATCCGCCTGAAGGAGGGCCTGGACATATCCCACCTCCAGGGACAAGGTGAGTGCTCCACAGTAGAGGTTGCCTTGTATGTATCACTTTGTTAGAAAATCATGCCTAGTTGTTACATGTCCTTCACTGACTTTCATAATTGCCATCATTTTTATGTCTTGAATCAGACTTGCTTAGAAGCCAACAATGTCTGCATCATAAAGCATGGCTAATTTATTATTAATGGAGAGGATAGAATTTATGATTTATAAATCATACACTTAAGAAAGGCAGATTGTAAATTGACCAACCAAATTTTTTGTAAAATTTGGATGAGAAAAATATTTGAACCTCTCCTAAAATACTTACATCACTACTTTGGCTGTAAGTTAAATAATACAATGCATACATTTAAAGTATTTTTAAAGTGACAATTTTAAGACCCAATTTAAGGTATAACTTTCTTGCAGATTTTATGAGAATGGAAATTTTCATATCCTTCTAATTTTTTGCTAATTCAAAAATACTGAATAGTTACCATTTCCTCTTATACAGTTAATTAATGAAATCATCAGATTAGTTGAAAAAGACAAGAAGCATATAAAAACTTGTAATCAGCTCATCGATTTAAACTCTTTGACTTTACACTGCTCACCTTTAAGAGTAACTTTGCAACTCTGCAACTTTGAAGAAACACTTTGAGTTCTCTATGAAATAAACACGCTTTGCTGGCTGAAAATGTATTTTTCTTTCTCTGGAATGAATCTAGCAGAACCTCATTTGAAGCCTTGTACCAATGACTATGTTTAGAGAATCTGACTCATACCCATTAACACTGCATAATTAGAAGCCGTGCCCCTGTCACTCACAGGAATAATGTGTTATTCAATTCTATTATTTAGTGGGGTTTGAATGTGACTGAAACATTTTTTAAAAGTATTGTGTATCTATGATCATTATGAAGTACTTCTTTGAAGGCCTTGTCCTTTGCTGATATCTGGTGTTAAGCCCAGGTGGATGTCTTCTAAAACTTACAGCCTTTTCCCATAATTTTGTAGCCTGGGCAGGTTTGGTAGCTTCTGGGCCTGTTTGCTTGTCTGTTAATGCCTAGCGATGTACCTCATAGGGTTGTCCTGAACAGTAAAGAGGTGAATTCTTTTAACCCCTTAGATTATGGCACTTGGATCCCATATCTCCTTTTGCTTCTGTACCTCCATACAAATTAGTGATGAGCATTATGGACAGATTATCAATTTTGTATTGTATTGTCTTTATATGTGTTTTCCAGTTGACGTTTATTACTTACTCACTCCCCAGGACCCTACTTAGCCACTAGTACTGACATATTTACATGGACAATCATTTTAAACACTTCGGTTGTTTCTTAAGAAACCACTTATCACACCTTACTATTTCACAAGGGATACTGGTTTACCTTTTTACTATGAAGCCATGTCACTTTGAATAGTTAAAATACAATCTTTGATACTGTTTTAAATACTTTCATATCTACAGAAGAATTACTATCTTCACAAGAAAAATCCCCAGGTACCAAGGATGTGGTGGTGAATGTGGACTGCAGTAAAAAGTCAGATCAAAATACTTGCAAGTCATCTGGTGAAAAATCCATTACACATAAAGGTAATTTCCACTCAGAGAGATTTTTATCAAGAGTTGGTGTTAAAGTGGAGGGGATTGACTTTTGAGTATAACATACATTACAAAGTTCCTTTTCTTAAGCTAGACATTGTTTGCTTTTTCCTTAAAACAGAAACCATGCCAATTAATTATTACTAATATAGTTTTAAGTAATTTGCTTTCAAATATTTTTGTTTGAACTTGGGAAGAGCACCTCCTTTTTCATGAGGCTTACAGATAGTTCCATCCACAAGCTTGTGTGTTCTGCCCTAAGAAGAGGGATGACTTCCAAATCTTACTCTCCTACCCTCACTCTCCGACCTCTGTTGAGACTCGTATCTCCTCTGTCCTATTCCAGCTGATAACGCACTAAGAAAGAAATCTGCACTGTAAATCATCAAGCCATAGTGTACTTTTTATTTCTCTAAGATGACTACCATCTTTTTATGAAATTGATAGCCTTGGACAAACCATGTCTTTGCACAATTTATCTTTTAGATTATTTGAAAGCGTTAATGTTGCTTTTTATTCTTTTCTTTCCTGTGTAATTGCCTGCCTAGTGCAGTAGTAGAAAGTGTGACCTGCACACATTTCTCCTCTCAGTCCTTGGTGGCTTTATTATTCTTTTTTGTGTTCTCTATGCATTCCATAAACTGATTCTGTTTATTTGTTATGCATTTATTTTAATTTATGTGTACATTCTTTTGCCCTTCCCCCGTTTTCTTGTCTGAAACAGACCCTTTCTGTGTAGTCTATTACGAATCAATGCATGCAGTTGTATTGATCATTTCCTAGAAGCTACTCTGCACTCACATCTAAGAAGATAGTAATAAAACATTAACTTATCAATGTGTGCTACAACTTCATAGTTTTAAAAAGTAGGAAACTAGGTTAGTACATTTCTACTCTGTTGTAAAATTTTAGATGCATTTAGCCTGACTTAAAGAGTTACTTTGGTGGGTAGTAAGGCCCTGTTGGAAAAAGGCATTTGCGCTGTCTTATGACTTGAATTTGATCCCTGGGACTTATAAAGTGGAAGGAGAGAGCTGACTGCTCTAAGTTGTCCCCTTCAGACACCTGCACAGATAGGTAATATTATCAGTCATTTTAAATGCCTCTGTGGCTTTGGCATATAAACTCCTTTAAATGAATATAAACCATCCACTACTAAATTTTCAAAAGCAGATATTAATACTTTATAACAGTAATATTTAAAATTTAATTAGTTTTTCCATAACATGCATAAAAAGTAACAGTTATATAGGTTGATTTTTCTGTTTTCTATTGACAAATTCTCAAAATCAGCATAGATATTTTAAGAAAAATGGAAACTTTGTAAAAAAAAAAAGCTTTTCAGGATTAGAAACATTCCAATATATAGTCCAAGTATTGGTTTTATCTGTCTTGCTTACTAAGGCATATAGTGTACAAAGGGACAAGAAGAGAATACCCTGTAAGTACTTAGTTTGTACCAGCCTCAGCTTTTTTGAGCAGGGCTTGCAATTCTATAGCCTTAAGGGGTAGGTACATTTCTACCAGTGAGAAAACAAGGCATCAACTAACCAGGTCTGGTTCCCAGAGGATAGTGTGAGAGATACTATTGAAAGCTGGGAATTTTCCTTTGGCTCCCTTTGCAAAATGTTCTTAAAATTTCTAAGTCTCGAGTTTGCTTACTTTAAACAAGTAAATTTACATTTATGGGGAAAAAAGGAGTTAGAAAAACTACTTACCCCAGAAAGCAAATTGGTAAATATTTGAATATAAGCTGGTGAATATATGCACACATATGTATGTGTACATAAACTTTATTTGAAGAAAATAATTCCTTTATAAACTGGCATTTTACTCTGATGAAATTCCTTAATATTCCAAGTTCTGATTGCCGCGTACAATCCAGGTGCGTTCAGCCGTTTGTGTAGTGGTGCGGTGACCTGTATGAAGCTTGTGTGTGATCTGCCAAGGTGGTCGCTCAGAGTCATGCATCCACTCTACACGCTTTGACATTCTCAGCTAATTTCAAGTATAAAGTTTAATGTTTACAAAATCTGCTGGCTCTTCTGAATAATTTTACAGATATAAAATTTCAGTGTGGGTGTTCATCATTCACTCTGTATGGTCTTTATAAAAATATGTGTTTTAAAAAATATTAAACACTCAGTATAGAAAATAGTAACTTTCAGTAGTAATCATTTCTCATGGGCTGTTTCTTCACACTGTCTTGTATATAATGTGCTCTATTTACATTTCCATTACTCTATGATTATAAAGGCGATTAACTTCATATTTTGTGTTTTTTAAACATAATCTAGATGAGGAAGAGGATGGCAAGACTCCAACTCAGCCACTGTTGAAAAAAGGCAGGCATTGTTCATCATTTTATTTTAATCCTCTTCTCATACTGTTAACTCTCTAATTCCAGCTCTATTGTTTTCCTTTTATTTTAATTTAGTTTTTATTTCCATGGTGAGGTGATATTACAGTTACCTATTAAATGCAGATTAGTAAAATTAATTTTATTCCAATGAAAGCATTAAGTCTCACTGGGACAAACTGTTATTACAGTCTTTTGAATCGTCATGGTGTTTCTGAAATACACAAACCTGAAAAGTCAGGGTTTTTGTTTTTTGGGTCTTTTCCTGATTTAAACTGCATGGTCCAATAAGCAGGGACACTGGAGTAGGCGTGTCCACAGTATCGCTTACACTCCTTACCATCTGTACCCAGCCAAATTCTTGATTTTGATACTAATATATTTTTTGTTTCAAAAATTGCACTATTTCTCACAGTCGTGCTGCGTTTGGGAGATACAGTCATGTCAGCGTACATGAATGTTAAGAGAAGGAGATAGAGGTGAGAGTTACGGAGCAGTGCGGTTTGGTAGCCATATTACGTCATCATGCAAATCATTTGTCATGTTTGCTTACATCATGGCAGCATGAAAAGTGAATGATGGACCTTCTGGAAAAAGGACCAGAGTTCCTTCTGTAAATTTCTGTTTTTAAAATTGTGGTAGTGGAGTTTCATAATAGTCATCTGCTTGCTCACAGAGTCAATGCTGATTTTTTTTTTAATTCCTAGAAATGTAAATTGGAACTCTTTACAGACATGCAGCGTATCTGTACCATTTCCAGGACTTTCTACCATCTGTCTGTGACTCAGAAAGATGTGGCTATGTCTTTGACATTGTGTATCACATATTGAGAGGACAAATGATTAATAAGCACACTTCCTTGGTAATTGTAAGAGTATATATTAGTATTTATCCAACCATCTTCCAAATACAGCTTTTTATTTAGTAGTGCCTTTGAACTCTAAATCATTGAGATAGCAGATAATAAAAGAAACCTCACAGGACAAGTATAGTATTAAGGCTTGATCTATTAACCTAAAGTAGCTCTCTAGGAAAGCTGAACTCCATCGGTAAATGTATGGATTTAGCATTCCAGCAGATTTCACCAGAATACTTCAGAATACTAGACACTTGGGTAGTTTGGGTGAGTTTACCTATTATAAGACAAAAAGTACTTTTTAAAATCTGTTATAAGCTACTACTGGCTTATAATGGAAGTCATATACAACTATCTGCATATAAATATATCTGAATTTAGAAATGCTAGGAAATTCTAGGAATATAGTAAAAGGAGATTTGACATTTACTTCCTATCAGTCGTAATTTTTTGCTTACTCCTTTAGAATCCAAAGATCCTGTTGCACCTTTAAATGTAGCTGACCAAAAGCTTCTTGAAGCCAGTACACAATTCCAGAAAAAACAAGGAAAGAATACTATTGATGTCTGGTGGCTTTTTGATGATGGAGGTAAGGCCATTATCTTTTAAATAATTAGAAATTTACTTAATATGTAAGAACAGTGCTAAGAAATGGCATACAATTTTCATGTGTTTACCACATTCAGGTTTGCATCCCACTCCAACAGCACAAGAATCAGTGTGAGAATCATGCATCGTCCCTTCAGGGTCCTTCAGGGTGCTTTAGTCCGTTCTTGAGCGTTGTGACAGTGTCATTTTATTAACTACTACAGACCAGGTTGTGACTGTCACTTGATTTGGAGTGCAGTTAGATTGGTCAGAATTAGTTTCATATTATGAATTTTTGGCAGAAACAGCACAAAAGTGATACTGCTCTCTTCTGTCTGCATTTCACCAAGAGTGGTATATTGGTGTAAAGTAAGTTGTTGAGGAAAGTGTGATTTTTCAGACTTACCCTTGAAGTTTTTCCCCCTTTAATGGTTCCTGGGAGGCTCAGCCGTTACACTAGGATTCACATTCAGTCGCTCAGGTTCTGAAGGACTCTTGTGCTTCCAGGTGATTCATTTTCACCCCCACCGTTCTGTCCTCATTGATTGGTCGGCATTTCATTGTAAAGAAGAGCTCGTCTCTTCGAGTCATTGATTCTTGGTTTATCCAAAAGGATATAGTTTATTACTGTCATCATTTGTTTAGTTCTCTGATTGTCCACATCCAGCCAGCAGGGTCATCTCTCACTTCCCTAAGGTGACTTAATATGTTCATGTGTCGTAGAGCACTCATTTTGGCAGTTGCTTCCTGAAATACGATGGTATCCTAGACTTATCCCTTCCTCTATATGGAAAGGACCTTTTAGTCAAGAGCAGTACTTAGAAGCAGTATGCCTGTGACTTCTAGGATAATTCTTCGTTACCAGGCCCCCTCAGGGGAGAAAGCTGGGGAATATATATAATATGTATGTACGCATGTGTGCATTATCTAGAGCTTGAAAGAAGCCAATTCCATATAACTTTTCGTCTTTCTCATTTCCGTGTGAAACTTGCCCCTATTAGACTATATTCATTTCCTTTCCCTTTCTGTCCACAACCAATTTTTTGACTGCCCTAGGCCACCATCCATTTCTACTGCTTACATAAAGAACTGCAGTTCTTGGGCTGAACCACTCCCTTGGACTCCCTCCTTGACAGAACTGTCAGGGGAGGACAGATTTTACTTTACATTGAGTTATATAATAAATGTGGTTTTTGAGACCAAGTTGAAAATAAATATTTTTGTTTGAGATAAAAGCATTTTTTAAAAAGAGTTTATTATATTTTTGTAATTCAGGTTTGACCTTGTTGATACCCTATCTTCTGACTACCAAGAAAAAGTGGAAAGATTGTAAGATCCGAGTATTCATTGGTGGAAAAATAAACAGAATAGACCATGACCGGAGAGCGTAAGTTTGTTTTAAGTTGGAGAGCATTAATCAAATAGCCTTGACATGATAGAGATTTGATAAAATAAAATCCATATATAGACCATGAAGTATTAACTGATACTGCAAAAGTTTCATTAAATAGAACCTCATCCTCTTTATTTTTTGACATTTATATTTAAATTATAAGTGCATAATTTTACTTAAATGTGATAGACTAACACATTGACATTTTAGAAAGTTTTTATTAATACCTGTATTTTTTAGGTGTTAGAAGCATATCTCTAATCATTTGAGAGAAAGTGCATAGAAATTGCCTTTTCATATGTAGAGAAATTGTATGACTTTGAAGACATTAGCATACTATTGCCATCTGTACTGCCATGAGTCTCAATTCTGGTGCTCCTCTCCTGGCCTTGTCCCTGCAGGGTACTGCACACATTGTTCCCACTTTCACGTAGAAAGTCTGAGAGTTGTGACTGATCCTCCCACAGTCCTGTAGCCTCCTCATGTGAGTGCAGCCGTGTGGCATAAAGAAAGGTTTCTGACTCTGTCTCTTCCCTTTCTCTCTTGTCCCCACCCCTACATGCTGTCTACATTTGGGGGATTTCAGGCATTTTTGGTCTACCTGTTCTATCTCTTTCTTATACACATAGCTCTTCCTTTGCCTCATTCATCTGTGTAAATGTGTTGTACTGCGAGACTTTTCCTGGGGAGACACAACATACACATCTACTCACCCCAGCTCAGGAGCGCATGACAAGACCACGCGGACACTCCCAAAGTCCTACCTGGTGAAACACTGAGTTTTATTGGGAATACTTACAGGAGTATGGTTGAGGGGTTCTTAGGAGCAGAGAAGACTCGAAGACAGTCGCATTACCAAGGCCCACCCCAGCGTGGTGACAGCTCCTGAAAGCTGGAAACCTGCAGCCACTGCACTGCCCACAGTGGGAGAGTGCCCTTGTGCCCTTTGCCGGTGACTCTGGTCTAACCCTCTTCCTGGGAGCTTGGCATCTCTGGGAGGGAGGAGCCCAGTGAATATGGTCAGTTTCCAGAACTTTCTGAGACTGTTTTGTATTGTTTGCCTTCCTGCTTAAGGAGCTTCTTTGCAGGGTGGAGTATATCAAACTTGGAGGAAACTTAGACAACAAAATGTTGGGCTTTCTTGAACCCGGTTTAGTTCTCCAGTGCTGGGCCTTACCATATTTCCTTTCTCTCTCCTGCACATTTCCTTCCTCAGTCAGTTAACATGTGAGGCCACTTGCATCACTTTCTTAAAATTTAGTTCTGTGGGCTCTGTAATGTTTAGCAGTTTGGGACTAAGAGATACTGAATTCAATTAGGTATTCATTTTCAACAGGGAATTATGGAAGACATATTTCTCATATTTTTCTTTCTAAAGCTGTCATTTTATAAAACATAGGATCTTGTTTTATTGATTGCTTTTCTTGGGTGTTTCAGATTTTTGTTGACATGACCCCCCTCATACAAGACCTTGAACGAGGTATTTGCCAAAGGCCAGGCTTGTTGTACTCCTTTCCCTGACCTCTTCAAAGACAAACACTATGAACTACTCTTTCATGAACTGGATCTTCAGTTTGGCCTTAAGTTCTTTTTGGGCCTTGGGATATTTTAACATAAATCCAATAGGTAGTAACCCAAAAATAACTTAAAAGAGGCTTGTTATCAGATATATCCTTCCAATATGCCTTGATTAAAATTACTTTTTATCAAGCTGGGTGTCACATGGCATTATGGATAGCCCTGGCTCAGCCCTTTGGGCTGTAGTAGTTACTTTCTCCTTGCTGTAACTGAGTGCCTGAGGGACAGCGTGGGAAAGGGGAGTGTTTGTGAGGGCTTAGGTTGCAGAAGACAGTCAGCATGGGGAAGGCATGCTGGCTGCGGTGTGCAGCAGTCAAAGACTCTTTGTATCTGCAGTCAGGAAACAGAAGACACTGCTCAGTTTTTATGGAAATTTCCTCAGTGACACACGCGGAAGTATGTCTCCTAAGTGATTTCAAATACAGTCCAGTTGAGAGTGAAGATTAACCATTGTAGATAGTAGGCAGGGATAGAGACTTAGTCATCTCTACTCAGGCAGTTTCAGTGCTTTCTTTTAATGGAGAATATCAGTTAATTCAGGACATTTGTGTAGCAACTGATAGACTTTCTCTTTAAGTTACCTTATCACATATGTAGAGAGTAAAAATACTTAACATCCTTTGCATGTCTGAATGCTGGTTTGTGTTTTTTTTTGTCATAGGATGGCTACTTTACTTAGTAAATTCCGAATAGATTTCTCTGATATCATGGTCCTAGGAGATATCAACACCAAACCAAATAAAGAAAAGTAAGTTGCTGGATAAATTATTCTGTATAAATTTCCAACTCTTTTGGCATGTGCAGACACAGATAATTTAACTTGGAATGATTATCAGGGCCTTTTCTCTGCCCCGAGTTCTGTGAAACCATCTGGTAATTGGTGGCCAGTGATACTGAATAAGCTGTAAAGAACTGAGTTTTCAGAAGGGGTTCACTCTTCTCACATGCTTTCTGGAAACTGTTAGTGCCCCAGAAATTGCAGAGAGGTTTTATGTTCCAGGTGTTTCTTGCCCACAGTCACTAAAAGCATTTGATGCTAACTTACATGTGTATTACTTCCATTGTTTACTTTTATAGTGAAAATCTGAGTTTCCCAGTAATAGTGGCCGTCAAGAGTCTCTTACTCAAACACTTTCTACTCTTGGAATAAATAGTCTTCCTGAAAATGGCACAGAGAGGCAGTTACAGTCTGTATACATTTTATCAGGAATAACTAATTTTTGGCATGTGTTAAATGAGTTACAGAGCTGAGCAAAGATGATGTTTTACATTGAGTTGGGAATGATTTGCTGTGTTTTAGGTATCGCTCAGGAATCACGTTGGCTGGTGCGCCGTTCTTTAGTTTGAGGGTTGACACAGGCGAGGGCAGACAGCTTGACGAGTGAGCTTCAGCTCCAGCCTTATTAACGCCTGTGCAGTTCTAGCTGTGCAGTCTGAGAGACTGAAAATTACTGTTTTCTTACCCAGTGATACAAATGATTACAAGTTTGTAACAAGTTATTTGTGATATATAATTCAAAATAAAATTGTCGGTATCCTGTCTATTTTTTCAAGTATTACTGCTTTTGAGGACATGATTGAGCCATACAGACTTCATGAAGATGACAAAGAACAGGACATTGCAGATAAAATGAAGGAAGACGAGCCTTGGCGAATAACAGACAATGAGCTTGAGCTTTATAAGACCAAGGTACTCTTCACTCTGTCTCCTTTTCACTAATCTTACATGTGATTTCATAGACTCGCTATACCAAGCACTGTGATTTGAAACAGAGGCAAATGCTTATGTAAGCTAAACCTCCATTAAGGGTGTTTTATATTTGAATGGTGGGAAGCTAGGAAGCAGCGTCAAATATTTTTCTAAATAGTGTTTTTTTATACAAAATTTGTTTTTGCTACTTGTTTTACAAACCATAGTGGTTTCTTCTTTCTCCTCCTCTTCCCGTTCCTCCTCCTTCCTGTGCCTCCTTTTTCTCTCGTAGTGCTGAAGATCTAGCACATAGCTACCTGGGCTTACACACTGGTTACTGAACTACAGTCTGCCTTTGTTCACAGTTCTAAATGTCAGATGTTTAGGAATGATTCTGTCCTTTTCCATTTCAGACATACCGGCAGATCAGGTTAAATGAATTATTAAAGGAGCACTCAAATACAGCCAATATTATTGTCATGTAAGTATTGTTGGAATAAGGTTTGGACTATTTTCATGAAGGTGTGTGCATGTGTCTGTGTCTCTATTGTAACAGTACTTAATGGTTTTTGAAAAGTTTTTAGGATTTCATGAGTAATGTATTTACATCATTCTCCTCTCAATTCCTCTGTTCATTTTTCTTCCTCTCATATTTGTCACTTTTCTTTAGTTATTATAAGTTACTAAATAATTATTGTTATAATAAACTGATATGCACATACACAGTGTTGCTCATATGTATGTTTTTAAGGCTGACCACTTATAATTGGGTCAGCCTTTGTAACTGGGGACTCATCCCTGGATTTTTTTAATTAATCTACTTAATTATTATTTTTAAATTAATTTGCTTAATTGCCTTTAGTTTTTCATCTCGTGTGATGCCTCACAGCATTTCCCCTATGCACATTGGCATGTCAGCTTGTGTTGTCACTGTTTAGGTCTTATCTCATGGTCACAACTTCCCTTTGATATAGAATGCAGACATCCAGGTCCTCTGGCTTTTACAGTCTTGCCGCCCCCTCTTTAGTCATGTTCCCCAAGCCTTATTTAGGTATAGGGGTTGTGGTTGTGGATGTATTAAGTGGGGCTGAGTGCTCCAAAGTCAGTTGTTCTATGCATTGTGACCAGTTGTAGTCTGTAATGGTTTCTGTGTGCTACAAAAAAGCTTTCTTCATGAGTGAGCTACATAAGGATAAGGACTTAAAATGTAGTTAGAAGTTGACTAGTTTAGAAAAGTCGTGTTAGTAGGTTCTGCTCCAGGTTCTATGGGATATGAGTGTGGCATACATATACCTGGAAAGGCCAGAGTCTCCAGAGTCCTTGGAGCTGGTTTACAGTTGTGAGCTCCCTTGTGTAGGCACTGAGTTGAACCTGAGCCCTCCAAAGAGCAGTGTGTGCTCTTAATTGCCATGGCATCCCTTCAGTCCCTTTTTTTGTGTTTTTTAAATAAGAAACTGCGTCCAATTGGTGCTGCCGTATGTGTATGAATGTGGGACAACCTCTCAGTGAGCAAACCCCCAAAGAAGACTGTCCCTCCCAAAGCAGCCTTTAACTTCCAGTAGCTTCTCAGATAGGGCTGGGGCCTTGGGAGCCTCTCCCCAGTTCATGATGGAATTTTGACCTGTGCAGATAGCCACATCAATGTGCGTTCATGTGCACAGGAGCCTTGTCATTTCCAGAAAGTAACCTCTCACAGACTTCCTCCCTGCCCTCTGGCTCCTACTGTCTTCTTCCTCAGCACTCTGAGTCTTGGCTGGAAGTGGAAGGCACGTGTGTGATAAGAGATGCCCATTCATGACCAAGAACTCAGTTGCTTACTCAGTGTTTTGACAAGTTATGAGTCTCTGCATTAACTATTGCCCTCTATGAGAAGCTTTTTTTTTTTTTAACAGAGTTGAGGGCAGCACTTCTAAATATGGGTATTTAGAAGGTAGTTTGTCTACCTAACTGTTTAATAAAACAATAGAAGTAGGTTAACCCCTAGGGCCAATGACAACCTGGGCAGGAGCTTTTGACACTGATTACAAGACCAGCCGTGATTTCCGTCCTCTAGAGCAGGCCTCAGATCCAGTCAGAACGCGGTTGGTTCCACAGTAACAGTCACAGCTTGGGTGGTTTGCTTTTTTGTTTTGTTTTTAATTTATAGCCTAGGCTGTTCTTAAACTTGACTCTGCCTCTACCTCCCAAGTGCTGGAATTTCAGTCCTGTACTACAAGGCCCAGTAAATAAGTACTCAGAGTATTGAAAAGATATTATCTATAAAAAGGAAAACTCAAAGTTTAAAATGTGGTTGCCTTCAGTATGTGGAGCTAGCATTTATGCATGAACAAGAGATACTGTGTACCCTTGTGTCAGTCTGAGTAGTTTGTTTGGGTTGGTTATTCTGAACTTTTACATTCATATTCTTTGATTTCTTTTTCACCTTTTCAAAATTCCCTAGCACGGCCACAGGTGTGGGTGGCACAGGAGGGGCTCACAGTAGAATTTGGACCCCAGGCAACTTTCTCATATAAAGATAAGTGTGAAAGGTTGTTTAGAATATTAACCCGGTACAGCAGTTTTTGCCTGAATCCACCCCCATGTTTCCCTTGCAAGTGTTTTCCATGCAGACATGCTGTCTCTGAACTAGATAGAAGTGTTGGAGCCTACCCCAGCCTTTTTTCTGCGGATCTATGTTAATTAGAGATGATGTGATCCTGGATTTTTTTCAGTTCTGAGACTCTAAACAGAAAAGAAAAGCTCAGGCACCCAGAAACCAAGATGAAATAAATGCCTTGGTGCTAAGGAACTGTTAGGGTAACTCCAAACCCAATGTTTTCAATTTGTGCTGATGGTTTGTAGAGTTTTATAGTGAAAGACACTAAACCATAGAAGTTTAGAATGAATCCTTGTAGGTCTATGAATACCTCTATAAACCCTTATAGGTCTATAAATAGCTTGATAAATAGAAATTAAAATTCACAAGAAAAGTTAAATTTAACACATATTTAATTATGTTTCACTTTTCATCTATAACTTCCACTGTCTGATTTCTAATACAAATATGTTTTTCTTCTAAAGAAACCTGTCCTTAGTGAAGAGTAAATTTGATTGAATAATAATATGTTATTATTTTTAATAATAAATATGAATTACATATATTGAAGTTCACAGAAATACTTATGAATAAGGACAAATGTTTGAAAAATCCATTGAATCTGAGGATAGTGAAATGAGACTATGTATACTAATTACTGTTGTATATATGCAGTTTCCCTCCACTCAGATTTTATCATGGGAATTGGGATCTAATTAATGATTGTTTCATTTTCTTCTTGAAAGCATTGCTCATTGTCTTCTCATTCTGATCCTAGGAGTCTCCCAGTTGCACGGAAAGGTGCTGTGTCCAGTGCTTTGTATATGGCTTGGTTAGAAGCTCTATCTAAAGACCTGCCACCAATCCTCTTAGTTCGTGGGAATCATCAGAGCGTCCTTACCTTCTATTCTTAATTATTCTGCACCATGGACTGCCCTCCAGGAATGGTACTTCAGTGCCTAGCGAAAGCGCTGAAATCGTCAGTAACACCTTCCTATCACACTGGTGAACTGGGACTTTGTTTCAGTCTTCTTTATTTGAAAGCACAGGGAAAAGTTGCTCCATTGGTAGATAGACGTAGACTTGAGTTCTACTGGACTCCACATCTCAGTCTCAGTGACCGGGTAGTCTTTCCCGTCGGACTGAAGTTCGTGAGAGTAAAGTTGTCCTTTGCTACTTGAAAGCAATAAGAGTGTGTTATTGTTTGAGTGAGGAAAGGAGTACAAAAGCCTTTAGCCTTGAGGTGCCTTCTGAAACTAACCAAATTTCATCCATATATCTATTGTCTTTTGTAAATTTATAGAATGTTAAACTTTGCCTTCAGATATTTTTATTTCTAATGTCACTTTAAGTAGACACTCCTTTCATCTTCCATTGACCAGTTAGTTCTGAGTACTGTGTGTTTTGTATTACTTTTGTAAAAGTATCTGTTAGATACTAAGAACAAACTAATAAAATATATGGGGGAAAGTATCCAAAAAATGAAGCCCAAGTTTAGGTTTCTGTGAGTATGTGTACATGTAGAGCTAGGAAATAGAGGCCCAAAACACCATTTTTAATTCCATTGAAATTACGTATTATTTCTTGTAAATCTTAGAGAAGGGTGAGGATCTACCCAGTATTTCCTATATGATGCTGAAAAGTCACATGTCCTTTTTCAAGCAAAATCTGAGATCATTTGTATTATTTTTTAAACGATGTGTTCTAATTGAGAATTCCTCTCAAATGTGAGGGACTTTTAAGACATGCTGACAGGTGTTTTTTGAGAAAATTTAGACAAAGAAATGCCATTTAGTAGAACATTTTCAATAAACACTACAGGAGTTTCACTAGCCTATGCCATCCTTTATTTTTTTAAAAAAATCACTTAAAATTTTATCAATGGTTAAATGGACCACTGTTTTCTTAGTGGAAATGGTTTTAGGCTTAATTTATTCAAGTGTCAAGTACATTTAGTCTTAATACACTCAGGTTTGAACAGATTATTCTGAGCATTGAATTTTAATCCATTCTTAATACTTTAAACCTTCTGTGTTAAAGAAAACTGCCAGTTTGTGCGTTTGACCTTGTCGCCTACTCGAGCACTTGACAGTGTGATGTGCTGTCCTGAAGCTTTATCTACAGTTTTTAATGTGAAGTTTCTCATTTTCCAGGGAAGGATTTCCTGAACACATTTCAAGGGATTCGTGTCTTCATGTCTGTGTGTGTGTGTGCAATGCCCGCACCAGGTGCACATGCATGTCTGTATGTGTGTGTGCAGTGCACGCACAGGTGCACATGCATGTCTGTGTGTGTGTGTGCAGTGCGCGCACAGGTGCACATGCATGTCTGTATGTGTGTGTGTGCAATGCGCGCACAGGTGCACATGCATGTCTGTATGTGTGTGTGTGCAGTGCGCGCACAGGTGCACATGCATGTGTGTGTGTGTGCAGTGCACGCACAGGTGCACATGCATGTCTGTGTGTGCAATGCGTGCACAGGTGCACATGCATGTCTGTGTGTCTGTCACTGTGTCTCCAACTTGAAAGTGACCACAGCTCAGTAGATGACAGGTTTTTGTTTTGTTTTAATAAACATTGAAGTCAGATCAAGGGGTTACAGGTCTCATGGAGGACCAAGACAGTTTGAAGCTCATAGTGTAGCTTCATGTGGTTATCCAGTTAGATCCAGTGCTGCTGAGTAGGTGATCAGTTTCAGGAGTGGAGAACATGCAGGTTTCCGTCATCTTGAGCAAAGTGTTAGGAAAGCATTTTCAGTGGTGCAGTACTTCTGCTGCATGAATATGACCTACGTTTATACCAGCTGGATGTCTGGTCATTTCCATTCAGAAAATGAAAAAAAAAATGAAGTTAAGTGATTTTTTTCTAAGGTTTTTCCCTACATTATAATACAACATTGTTCCATTTATTTCAAGTTCTGCAGAGTTTGGAGGCAATATAGAAGTGTCATATTCAATAAACCATATCATGCATGATTTTTCTGAATGGACAATACGGTCCAGGCTGACTGCTGCTGTCTTGAAATGAACACAGGTACACTTGCCTTTTATTTTTAAAGGTTTTTCCCCATTCAGGAAAACTTGATTGTGATCTGTACTACAGAAACTAAATGTCATACATCATACATTTGTGTATAAAGTACATAAAATGGATCTCAGTACACGTAATAGGGAGCGTTGTTTGTGAAACAATGTAAGAAGCTTTCCTCTTTTAAAAACTACATTACATTCATTTAACACTAGATACCAGGTCAGACATTTTCAAGGTTGCGGTAGTACTCTAAAATGAAAAGTTTCAACAATTCTTGGAGATGCTAGCTAGTATTAAAGCTATTTTTATTTTATGCTGAATTTTGATTCTTTTGATGCCAAATTATTTTTTAGTCCTAATCAGTGATAATCACTTGAAGATAATTATGCAGTGGCATTTGAACTCATTGTTATGATGGGTAAAGAATTTGTGGGTTCACAGAGAATGTTGGTGTTGATTATTAACAGTTACTGAATCAAATATTTATTTGTTGCAATGTTTCCTTTGTGCTTTAAGTTTTCCTTTACACTCGTTTCATATTGCTTTCTACATGCGTGTTTTTTTAAGACTATGGAAATAATTTAAAGAGTTGAGCTCTGGTGGATGATTATCTGCTAAGTTTGAAAATGTAATATTTTGATAATACTGTACTGTTCCTGTCACAAATGCTTTTGTAATGTTTTAACCCTGAGTATTGCAGTTGCTGCTTTGTACAGAAGTTACTGCAATAAAGGAAGTGGACTCATTAAAACTTCAATATCTACTCTTAATTTTACCTGTTCATAATGTTATGTCAGCTTTGTGATCTCATCTCACTTAGGTGACCTTGGGGAAGCTGAATGAATTGTGCACCACCTCTCCTAAGAATGACTATTGGTTCTGACTTTAGTGAACTGTACGAAGTACAGCACCGTATGATTGTTTTTGAACTGATTTAGATTTTCTAATTTTTAATTTAGGGCCAGGCTTCTCAGGGGAAACTACAAGATTAAATAGGATTCATATTCCCTGAACTTGTTGATTCTTTGCTCCTGGGATTTGGTTTGGTTTTGGTGAGCTGACTGAAGTGTTGGGAAGCATTGTACCATTCTCATTCGGGCCTTTGCTGGTGTGCCACCCGTGCTGGCCTGTTACTCTTGAGAAAGCAGCTCAGAGCAGTTAGGAAGTTTGCTCAAGGTCGTGGAGATTGCTGAGAACATTGGCCAGAGCTGGCCATTTGTCCTGTGTGCCCTCAGTGCTGCTCTGTAAGAGCTGAGATAGAGCGGGCATCTGCACACTCCCCTCCCACTCTGCCCTGCGAGTCTGCCCAATATTCCTATCACAGCTGCAAATAAATGCCCATTCCAGATTGCCGTCAGAGATCTGAAATAAATCCACTTGTGATTTTTGTTTTTGTTCTCAAATAAGCTGCTGTTCTGCCACTTTACTCTTTGAAAGCCTATTAAGGAATTCAAAAGTGACTATGACATTTTAATTTTAAACAGAAACCAGTAGGGTTTTGTTACTCATTTCAGCTGAGGGGTAGGTTACAGTTGACATGTACTTGTTAATACGAACAACAAGGTAACTAGAGAGCCTGAAGAAACCTGTGGTGAAGATAGTGCAGTCCTTGGATGCACTCAGTTGAAAGGTCTGTCTTGTTGAGTAGTTCAGATAGTAGATACACACGTTAATAAGCAGTGTGACTTTGGGGTGGTATATACATCACTTTAATTGTTTTTATAAATCTGGTGGCAAAATAAGAATTAAGAGTCATAATTCAAGAAAAGATGTGGACTTTTCACTTTCTGGTGTGTAGGTTTAGCGTTTGTTGCTGTCCTTTTAGACGGGGAACCTATTTATTTCCCAGTCTGATCAGCACACATTTTCTGTCTTGCTGTTTGCATATGAATACAATTGTCCAATCTGTTCTGCCCATAACTAAAAGTGAAACATACTTCTTTTCATCCATGAAATAGGGAAAGTGATCCTTGGATCGTGAATTAAAAGCCCGGCTTATTTCTTGGTAAAGTTATGTCAAAATATTGAGAATTGCTAAAATTTTTCCCTGGAAGAAGACATAATTTAGTATAAAGAATTTTCTCACCTCTAATAACAGACATACACAAAGATAACATTAAAGCTAGGAAGGCAGTATTTCATATACAGAGCTAGATGGAAAATGATAAAATGAACAGGTTATGTTGGCCTGTTTACATTTTAAATTCAACTAAACAAATAGTAAAGTATTTTGAAAACGAGCAGTGTTTAGGGCTGTGGTTCTCAACCCATGGAAGGAGTTACTCTTTGATAGGGGTTGCATACCCCATATTTATATTATGATTTATAATAGCAAAATTATGAAGTAGCAATGAAAATATTTTTATGGTTGGGAATCACCACCTAAGGAACTATATTAAAGAGTTGTTAGCATTAGAAAAGTTGAGAACCGCTGGTTTAGGGACTTGGCTGAATAATCAATAAGCCCCAGGTTCTTTTTTTAATTAAAATTGTTTTCACACAGTTTTGTTTCGATGTTTTTGCTCCCTCCCAACTCCAGATTCTCCACACATTTCTACCCACCCAACAGTATATTCTTTTCCTCTTTCGAAACAAAAATGGCCCCATAAAGACAGACAAGCAAGAGACCAGTAAAGACAAATAAATAGATCAATAAATAAAATGAAGTGAAAAGTGATGTGGGATCCCCCGTTTGTAGGCTGTGAAACCATTGGTTAATACAGAAACTGTCTCAGGCCTGTGATAGGGTAGAGTGGTGGGGAAAACTAAACTGAATGCTGAAAGAAAGGAGGCAGAGTGAGGGAGAAGCCATGGAGCCGCTGCTGGAATAGATATGCTGGGACCTTGCTGGTTGGCCAACATTATGCCAGTGGCCTGCTTCCTGGGTGCATCCATGAAGGTAATCCTTGCTTATGTTCATACACCTGGGATTTTAGAATTGTTGACATAAACTTCACAGTTGATCCCCTCCCCCCCCCAGCCCCCAGAAAACAGACAGTGGTAAAGCACAGGTGTGTTATTATCGAAACACTGATGACAGGAGCCGTTCCCAAGCTGACATCGCCTCCCTCACACCAGAATCTACCAGTGGGCTGGGTAACGTTCACGTCACTACTGGTCATCCTTCATTCCTGGGCCATCGTGACTGTCTAAAGTGAAAGTCTCCACAGTCTTCCTTCGTACACCTTCACACAGCTTGCCCCCGTGTGGTGTTCTTTGTCAGTTTTTCTGTGGAATTCAGTCATTCTGAGCGTCCCCCTTTTTTTAATAGCAGCTATGCACTCAATTATTGAAACTTGTATTTTTTTTTTTTCCTCTGTGGCCAGATCAGAACCTGAAAGTTGCCAATAGTAAAGGAAGTTCAGGAAGGTAGCCAGGTTACTCGGAGCCCCTGCTGCTTAGCCACACCTGCGGCAAGAAAGAGGATTTCTTTGTCATCCCTAGAGAAGGGATGAGGGAAGAGCACCAGTGGGCTCTGCCTAGCAGGAGTGGTCTCTCTGGCTTGGATGGCATTGGTTAGGCATGAATCATGGATCTGCCTGACCTGCAGGGGGTTCTCTATACAAGTAAGGACGGGGAGAGACTGGAAAGACTAAAGCAATAGATTGTGTGGCCTGTGACCTGTTGGGATTGATTTAAATAATATTGGTACTGGCTCAATACCAGGACCCGAGTCACCAACTGTTTTGGAGTCTAGTTACTGAGACCTAGCTGAATATGGTTCATTGTAGTCTGTACTATGTGAGTACCACTGCATTACAACATAAATTTCAACACACTGTATAAACGTCTCCCATCATGCACCTTACCTCACGAGTGGTAGATGTGTACAGATAGGCATACATTAATGTTCAATTGAATTTAGAATCTACTCCCTATTCAAATAAGCATGTACACAATCCTATATAAAGTACACATAATATATGAATTATTTAACCATGTCTCACTTCTTGGGTGACTATTATAGTCTTTTTGTTTTTGTTTTGTTTTTGAGATAAGGTCTCATTCTGAATCCCAGGCTAGCCTGGAACTCACTATGTCGCCTAGGCTGGCCTCAAACTTGTGGATGATTTTTTTTTTTTTTATCTCAGCCTCCAAAAGCTGAGATTAAGGCAGAAACTACTGTTCAGTTTAATTCTATTCTTACATAGGACATGGTATTGTTACTTGTACATATTAAGTCTAGTAGATTCTTGTCACCTCCTTACCACCTCCAATAGGAATCTCAGTCAGCCATGCTCCAGAGAGCCAGCAGCTTGCTGTGGAAGTACACACACCCTTCTCACACTGGCATAACCCATGGGGGATCTATAATCACAGTGTGCTTCCCACCTCTTTTATTTCAGGGTCATTATATCAAAGTCACCTACTCATTGGACTGGTGACAGATGGACACATTATCACACATCCATGTGCTACGACTCACTTGAGTGTTTTTAATTTGGGGAATGCTAGAATCCAGCATAGTTATCAAGGTTTTGATGCTGTCAGTTACCCTGTAACTGAACTTGAATACTCAAGAAATTACATATAAATCCTAAGGGCTAATTCTACCATCCATGTAAGACAATGTAGTTTTACAATGCACATCTGCACAATACCACACGCATGTAGCATGCTTTCACGCATATTACATCTTCATACACAGATGCACTGGTTTCACAAACCATCTCTACACTCCCCACATTTCCTCAAATCTCTAAATGCGTCACTAATAAACTCATGGATTACTGTAATACATAGACTTTTATTCTTGCCAAAACCCTAAAACCAGAAAACACTATGTATCCATTACTGAGGATGACTCCATAAATATGAAATTAAATTACAGCTTCAACCAGCAACAGGTTTCAGCTAACTCTTAATTAAACCGTCTTTGGAAACTCAAAAGCTTTACACCTTTCCAGGCTTATTGGGCTAAAACTTTTTATTTTTCCTTGGGAAGTTACTGAAAAGATTTCTTAGCACTAACATAGTACTTAAACATAACATCTTTTTTTCTCCAAGGGTGGTTTCTCTAGATTTGATTTTTTTTAAATTTAATTACAACTTCAACTAGGAGCAGGCTTTATCCCAACTCCCACAAAGTATATTTAACTTTCCCTACATAGCTAACATAGCTTAGCAAATAAAATTAGGCATGCAAAAAGGCCTAGGTGGTTTAAAAAAAAATAACTCCTTTAGCTATAGATTTGGTCCTGGCATTTTGACTAATTTCTAGTTCAATTATATGTGCAAACTGCCACATGCCAGAGAGAGTGCCTCACAGCTCTTGAAGAGGAGGAAGCAGGCAGCAGAGAGCTCCCTGGTAAACCACAGCACCTCCCTCAACCCCTCACCAACAGTGACGAAACAGAAGCAGTAAGTGGAAGTTGGCTTAGTTTGTACCACTGCGGGGGTTGGTAAACAGAATTAAACCGTGTCAACAAAACCCATGGAGTCTCTTTAAGAACACTCAATGGTGGCACACACCTTTAATTCCAGCACTCAGGAGTAGAGGCAGGTGGCTCTATGTGAGGCCAAGGGTGGCCTGTTCTACAAATTGAGTTCCCGGACAGCTGGAGCTGTATAGAGAGACCCTGTCTCAGACAACTAAAGCCAGACCTACCAACCACACAAACAACACCAATCAAAAGTGTAATGTTCAAAGCAAACACGTGGAAGCTTACAGATAAAGTAAAATTAAACTACAACTTTAATATTATTTTTAGCTTTAATATTAATAACCAAACCCCAAACAGCTATGCATAGTGCCGA